TTCTGCCTTAGTGTGAAACATGATATTTGTTGATATCTCATAAGCATGATGTAGCATAAATAGATATTTCAAAAGCATGATAGTGTATGATAGTTCAGTAAGTTAATCTGTTTAAAACATTAAAGCTAACTGTATAATACTTCATCTATGCTATAACTGTTGAAAAATAGTGATAAATACATGAATTAGCATAGTGATTTACTTTTTTATGTCTTGCAAAAATCTACTACCATTAGTTCTTATTTACTGACCCCCAGTTGGAACCAGCAGTCTATTGTTAAGCAAAGCGATTGCTATGTGGGAAATCATGGGACTGCTTTCTTTTTACCCATTCCCCTGCCCTGTGGGATGCTCTCTGTGGTACCACAATAGCTAGCTTGCAGCAGCTGCCCTTAACTGACAAGACTACTGTAATCAATTTAACATCTTTGACATTTGTTTGCCTCCTAATGATTTTACTTCAGCTTCCCTTTTCCCCCTCTCTTTGGAGTGTTCTCTCCGGTAATGGGATAATTAGCAGTAAGGAATTATTGTTTATAATTAATTAATTGGAGAAGAAGTGATAAGAGAGTAAACAAGCACACAGTGAAGGAATGCACATTGGAAGGAATGCGGTGGAGCCAGCAGCAATTGTGCTAGGCAAAGAGCCTGTTCTATTCCCCTTTGGGTCCCTGTTTATTCTCTTATAATCCCTTCCTCTCCAGTCTCTCTACTCTGCAAGTGTGTGTGTGTGTGGGGGGGGACAGTGGGTCAGTCACAGGACAATGTATATTGACTGTAATGGTGATCATGTAACTGAGGGACATTGGTTGTAAAGTTATTTTTTCAGTACCGTTTTAACACTGAACTCTTCCTGAATGAATCAATTGGTAAATGAGATCTACCTATACAGTAGTTGTCTGGGAAGAAAAGAATATAGAACCTATTGCAGAATAATACCAAGGAGAGTGATAAGTTGTGTGCCAATAGTATTCGGTGTCTAGGTATTTTTTCATGTATTGATGTGTACAGATGTGTTGCTTTTACAAAGAATAAATTAAAAAAAATGAATTGGTGTTTGCAAATTTGATTTCTCATCTACTCTAAAGTAAAATAAGTTTTTTAAAAAAATGCCTTCAGTGAGATGGGCAGCATACAAGATTGATGAATAAATAAAATGTTTTTCAATATTAGATTTTTGGTACTTTGGATATCAGCTTTTTCGTCCCAACGAGGATGGCCAAATCATCTGGATGGTATCTGATTTGTTAATAGCTGCTGTAGAACATGAAAAAAGGCAGTAGTTAAAAATAGAAAACAAGAAAGGAAGTAATGAGAAAAGTTCTTTTCCTGAAAAATGTGGAGAATCATCAAACATAGAAGCTGCATTTAGGCCCATGGTTCCCAAGCAGTATGCTGCGGTACGCTGGGACATTGCAGCAAAATCATAGAGCACTGTGGGATATTTTACTGCTTACTAAATGGAACTGTTGGTGATCTTTAATTATGTTTTAGTAAAGGTCTTATATAGGGTATTTTAGAGCAGGCCTTTTATTTAATTTGATTTTAGAATAGAAATTTGAGTATATTTATTGTGATTTTTATTATCGCTTGTCCACCGCCCTGAGTCCTGTGAGGGAGATAGAGCGGTATACAAATTCAGATAAATAAATAAATAAATAAATCTAGGCTGTTACTATACATATGGTAGCATGGTGAATGATGAAAGTTTGGAAATTTCTGGTTTAGATATTTTTAAGATTTGTCAAGATAAACTGATTGAACACAAGAAGTAGATATCTTGAAGTTTCAATGTTTTAAAATATTTATAAACATAATTGATTCTGGGAGTGAGGGGAGTTACATGGCGGGTTCAGCTGCTTATTCTTTTCCTGGGTCAGATTTGGGAATGACAAGCTTCACCCAGTGTTTGGTACCTTGGCATTATAAGTATTGTTGGGTTTAGCTTACTAATTTATTTCATATAATTGAATATGCTGTTTAGCCAATTTATTTCCGGGTTTACAGTCAAATATAACAATAACATAGATACTTACCAGCAAAGCAAGTAAATTGTAATAAAAAGAGCAACAAAGTTAAACTAGATTAAGACCCAGAATTTTAAAACCTGAGAGGATAAAATCTTTTCAGAGATAAAAAGGGCTGCTTACTGAGAAAGTAAATACTATGAGAACATGGATTATATTACATTTCTCAATACTGAATTGATAACTAATAGTTTTATAGTGTGTACCAATTACGGAGATTATGGAGGCTTATGCTAGGAGTATCAAATGATAGTCTAAAATTCTGATTTTAAAGTCACCATTCCATGAAAATATATGAGGTTACTTGGAATTTAGAGCATATGTTAGCAGTATGGCAATTATAATTCTTTTATTCTGTATGATGTGAGCCAGTCTATGTGACAAGGAAAAAACTGGACCAGAAATAGGAGCAACAAAGCATGGCTATGACAGGATTGAGAGACAGGACAGCCACTCATTTCCCTATGTCCAAACTCTTGAGAAAAGTAACGAATAGAGCTAAGTCCAATAATTGCTGCTGATGTGCCTTTCTTCTACCTATTTTTTCCATTGAAAGATAAAAAAAAGAAAAGATTTCAGACAGTACATGGCTGGATGCCAAGTACCCCGTGATCATGCAATCACCATTTGCAATTTCTTTTCTGGCTTCCTCAGAAAGTCAATGGGGAAGCCAAACAGGGAAAATTGCAAGGTGCTTGAATAAGCCTTTTCCATCCGTGCACCCTTCCCCAGCCACTCTGCATTTGCTTTGTTTCGGCCATATGTGCACCTCCATACATTCTCCCCAACCTGCACCTCTCACGTACCCTCCATGACCCTCCACCGCACTTCTCATGCACACTCATACACTTTCCCTGACCTGCATGACACCTCTTGTGCATCCTCTTCGAACCTCCCTGACTCACGCAGGTTCTCTACTCTAGTTCTCCCTCGTGCATCCTCTCCAACTCATGCCCCTCACACTCTCTCTCTGACCTGTGTGTGCCTGTCATGCAACCTCCTTAATTCTTTCCCACATCCTCTCTTCTTTCTTCCCCCGTGTGGCAGCAGCCATTACCTTCCTGCCAGGTTGGAATTGACTGGTTGTGGGAAGTGGCAGGAAGTTGCCTTGCCTAATGATTATGGAATTCAGTTCATGACAGTAATCAGAACTGTAAGGATTGTCATTGCTAAGTGACCACATTGCTTAGCAATGGAATTTCTGATGCCAATTTCTGTCATAAGTCAAGGATTACCTATTTTAAATGTCAGAGCTGCATCGCTGCCTGTGGAATTATTTGTTGAGCACTTTACATTGATATGCTTATTTATCTTCTGCTTACAACTGGAATCCTATTCACTATTCAATATATAATTAATAGAACCATGAAATGTCTTTTGATACTATGCTTTCATGTTTGTGAGTTTTCCAGAGAATATTGTATATAAACCACCACAAACAGGTATTACATGATTGGATCATCTTATTTGGGGCTTGTGAAATATAGGTAGCTAGATATTATTCTGTAACATTTCTGTAATCCTCTACTGGAGATTGAACTCATGAATTTTTCCTTTCATGAGTTTTAGGATCATATAATTTTATTAGCTTTAAGAGATATCCAAGTCCTGGTGCTCAGTGGTTGTAAAAGGTGATATCTAGAAATTATCAGAATGATATACAGTCTACCTTTAATATACAGTGCCATAAACCATTTAGTTCCACAGAATAAGCAAACACAAACATCACATAGGATGTACATTGTATGAAAATAGAGAAATTTTCCCATCCCCAAGAGGGGTGAAAGTCATGTGAAGCTCCTTACATAGGGACATGACATAATGTAACAATAGTCTCTCTGCTCTGAGTTTAAGGCAGGGATGTCAAACTCAATTTCATTGAGGGCCACATCAGCATTGTGGTTGCCTTCGGGGAGCCGGGTGGTGTGGCTGGGATGGGTGTGGCCTACTGGTGGGTGTGGCTGGGGTGGGCGTGGTCCACAGGGTGGGTGTGGCAGTTTGACATCACTTGCTTCAGGAGTGCCTGGGCAGGACTGGGGCAGATCTGAGGGTCTCTGGCAGAGAATGGAACTGGGGCGAGCGCTGGGACATGGTCCCTCCCACCCTCCCTCCCTTCCTCTGTTCCTTCCTTCCTTCCTTCCTCCCACCCCCCATTCCTTCCTCCCTCTGTTCCTTCCTTCCTCTGTTCCTTCCTTTTTCCCTCCCTCTCTCCCTAGTTCCTTCCTTCGCCTTCTCATCTTTTTCCTTCCCCCGCACTCAGGAAGGGGGGTTGGGGGGAGAGATTGCCAGCACTAATATGCTGCTGCCGGCCATTCCTATACCATGTGGGCGGGCGGGGGCGGTCCCATTGAAAGGGATGCTTCGAGGCTGGAGGTGCTGGTGGGGGGGTGGCGCTGATCTACAACCTGGTTGCATCCATCAAAGCCAGCCTAAGATCCACTGGAACCAGCAAAGAGCTGCCCTGCCGCCTCTGTCCTGCCCCCCGGGTGTGCGCACAGGAGACAGTCAGTGCCAGCATCCTGGTGAAGTCAGCCTGCGAGACAAGACAGCCAGCAGGGACACCGGACTCCGCTTGCGCACGCACCCAGGGAGCGGTGCAGGGCTGCCCCATGGATTTAACGCTGAGCACGTTCTGGCTTTGATGGACGCAACCAGGTTGTAGATCAGCGCCTGGTCGGCCTGGGCTGGGCCGAGTTGCGGCGGGCCGGTCCTTCGCTCTTTCCAGAGCAAGTCCCCGGGCCGGATTGAACCACATAGCGGGCCACATCGAGCCTGCAGGCCTTGTGTTTGACATGTCTGGTTTAAGGGAAGATGAACGCCACATATCATTGTGATGGTTTCCAGAAAATAAATGCTGTTGGGCATAATTATTAGTAAATAAGTTGCATTATGGGTATGTGAGCTAAAACTTTAATATTGAAACAATGTATTTAGATAGCATTTAAATAATATCTCTGAAACTTTTTTTCCTAGAATGTATGACAACATGTCCACAATGGTGTATCTAAAAGAAGACAAATTGGAAAAGCTCACTCAGGATGAGATTATTTCCAAGACTAAACAAGTGATTCAAGGCCTAGAAGCCTTGAAGAATGAGCACAATTCCATCTTACAGAGTTTACTTGAGACACTAAAATGTTTGAAGAAAGATGACGAGACCAATCTGGTGGAAGAAAAATCAAACATGATTCGAAAGTCTTTAGAAATGCTAGAATTGGGACTAAGTGAAGCTCAGGTAAATAAAATGCATAAAAATAGCTTTATTTAATCTCTGATATTCAAAATCAAGGTGGAAAGTTGGTATTTTAATTCAATAAATATGATTGTACATGATCAATATATAATTTGTCTCTGTGCTTTGGAGAAATCTGTGACTTCAGCACACATACTCTTTCAGTGCAGTTTTTACAATAATTTACACTCTGTTTTCATCTGCCTTTAGGACAGTCTTATTTGTTCCTTAGTGTCAGGCCAAACCCTAACATCACTAGGAGAATTTAAAAAAATGAATTGACATTCCTATGAAGGAAATTACTTTATTTTCTGATTTTATTAATTTACAATTTAATTTTGTTCTAGGTTTCCCACATTGCATCTAGTTTTTATTTTTTGCTATATCTTATTTGTCACTAATCAATATACAGTTTTACCTATACACACTTACATATACACAAACTCATGTTTCTAGAGTCTTGACATGTCTACTTCATATGGTAGTCTATTTTTCAAAAGATAGAAATTTAATATATTATTCTTAAAGTATTTTTATTAAATTTATCATTTTTATCATAAATGATCTATTTTTAATATCCTGCTCTATACACTGACCTCTGGTGAATGTCATAAATACATTAATAATAAATGTCTTATAAATGTTTTAGACTTTAAGGCATTTTTATTCTTCTTAGATAATATTTATGCTTTGTTTCCTATATCATGGCTTTCCATGTTTTGTTTTCAATGAAGTCAGCTCTTTAATATATTGGTTGGTGGCTATTGTCTGTCTGTCTGTTTTTCTCTCTCTCTAACTATCTATCGCCTGTCTGTCTGTCTAATCAACATGTGTTTCCTCATTGTTTTACAAAAAGTTTAACTGCTAGAATTCTGAATCAAACAAATAACAATTTTTGGTGCATTCTAGGTGATGATGGCTTTGTCAAACCACTTAAATGCTGTAGAATCAGAGAAGCAGAAATTACGTGCCCAGGTTCGTAGGCTATGTCAAGAAAACCAGTGGCTAAGAGATGAACTTGCTAATACCCAGCAGAAATTACAAAAAAGTGAACAGTCTGTGGCTCAGCTAGAAGAAGAAAAGAAGCACCTTGAATTCATGAATCAGTTAAAAAAATATGATGATGATATATCACCTTCAGTAAGTAGCTTCAGATAAATTACATGATTTTCTTTAAATTCCTTTCTGTGAATGAATGTTACTCTGAAAATATTTATAATTTTTAAAGCAGATTTAATTTCTTTAATCTCTGTAAGTATGGACAAAGACTATAATCTTTGTACATGACATGAATCTTGCTTATATATTGAATTCCAAAAAAATGTGTAATTTTGTAATATTTTTATAATGCAGCTTCTTTTGAGTCCAGTATTTACTTGACTTCGAGTTGGAAGCCAAAGGACAGGCCAGAAATTAAGGAAGTACAGTTATATCTTTAAAACCAGTTAATTTCTACTTTCCCAAATGCACCTTCTAATCTAAGTATGCTATATGTGCTATACATTTTATTGATTTGATTTGATTTTTATCTTACCTCAATCGTAACAACTGTTGGTGGTTACATTTTCACAATAAAAAGAACAACAGAATTAAAACAACGTACAATCCAAAGTAAAAAAGAATTTATATTTTGATTCAGCAATTTTAACAGTCTGAATATTCGGGATACATTTTAGGAGGACAAAGACGCAGATTCTGCCAAAGAGCCATTGGATGATTTATTCCCCAATGATGAAGATGACCAAGGACAAGGAAGTAAGTTATAATTACTAGACTTACAAGGCTATACCCTGAATCTGCCCTTCATTTCTGAAACTGAATCTTGTGTTAGTAAGCCTCGACCCAAAATTTGAAATTGCGGAGAACTTTTGGTTCCTTCCATCCCCCCCCCCCCCCGTTGCGTTGTCTAACAATTACTAGTGAATGGGTCCCTAACATTTCTTCTTTTTTCATGAGCTGAGCTACATTTTAAAAACCGGGTAATTTGAAGAGAAAAGCGGTATGAAAGTACTTTAACTTTGTTTACAGAACGTGTCCAAAAAGATGTATTCTCAAACAGTAGCATGTCATATTATTAAGTGTAATATAATATTTTATAGGTAAAACATTAGTGTATATGCTACTAATGAAGGTCAATTCAACTATAGCTGGTTGGTTGATTAGTTGGTTTGTAATGAAATACTGTAGTTATAGTCAAGGCTACTTTAAATGGTATACAAAATCCAACAGCTGCAGCTATTGCCACAATATTAATATATCATACAGTAAAATATAAAATGATGGGTGAAATTGTAATGAATATACAGTGTACCTGCACTGAGAAATTTATAGCTGTCAAGTCCCAAAGTCCTTCTGGAACAATCAGATTTTTATGAGCTTCCAGGAGATTGGCAACTAACCTTGCCTCAGCATTTAATGGGCTTATTCTGATTATTTTATTTCCAGTTCAACAGCCACATAGCAGTGCAGCAGCAGCTGCCCAACAGGGTGGTTATGAGATTCCAGCACGATTAAGGACCCTTCATAATCTTGTCATTCAGTATGCTTCCCAAGGTAGATATGAGGTTGCAGTACCACTTTGTAAGCAAGCTCTTGAAGACCTTGAAAAGACTTCAGGTCACGATCACCCTGATGTTGCCACTATGTTGAACATACTTGCATTAGTATACAGGTTAGTAAAGTTAAGAATATAGTTTTAAAAATATTGCATGTTTAGAATGCTACAGTGCAATGTTTTATTTATAAGACAGTTAAAAACATCCCCATTTAGCCAACACCCCAAGCCCAGATGCTAACAGGGAAGGCCAGGTTTTTATAGTTTTACAAAATCTTAAGTGTGGGTAAATTGGTCTAGAGAGGCAGGGCCACCATGTTTTTCTCCCCAAGCTCCCAAGGAAAGGGGATTTGGAGTGTCTGCTTGTGGAGTGATTCAACAGGACTGGCAAATTCTGCTTGGAGTAAATGATTCTGTAGGTTATCTCAATCAAAACTAGATATATAGACCCATTCCATTAACTTTCTATTTCCTTCTCTAGAGCTTTAAGAAAACCAAACCATAATTAGGCTGATAACCAAGTAATCAATTCAGGATGGCAGTTTTAGTCACAGGATTTTATTTTATAATGTCACAATATTTCCAAAACTATGTGGCAGAGATCTGAATCCAGGAGGCCTGTCACTATGTTCCCATATGTAGACAGAATAGCTACCTACAATGTCATTAAACACTGTAATCTTATACAGTGTCAACCTATTTAGGACTAAGCCTCATTAAAATGAATAGGATTAGACATAGACTCTGCTATAATTAACATTTTGTCTTGTCAAACCCAGAAAAAGATTAGCTATATTCTTGCTATCTCATCTTTTTCTATGCCCAGACTGCTCATTTCTTTGATAGTTAGCCAGTAACATTAGTTGATAGATAGTGATCCTTATTTGTGTCATTCTCTAGGCGTCTAAACTAGAATGTCCAATTTCTTGTTTTAAAGTAATTTAGCCTTGGGCTGCCTGGGCTCTGGTGTGACAGAGTCTGACATGTTCTCCCTTGAGATGTGTTCAGTTAACTAAATAGCTGAAAAAAAGATGTCTTCCTACTCCTTAGTAGCCTGCAAGATTCCCCCCCCCATCACTAACTGAGCTATTCAACCTGGAAGCTAGAATTTTATATATACAAGTCTTATTCCAGGATATATTACTGTTAATTTTTTTAAAAATCCTCTTATTTTTGTAGGTTTCCACAAGGCTAAGTAATACATAGTACAGTGATGGCAAACCTTTTAGAGACCAAACTGCAACCCAAAACCCACTTATGCATCATCGGGTGCCGGGTGGGCGTGGCCCATTGGGTGGGTGTGGCCCATTGGGTGGGCGTGGCTGTGGTGGTAATGGCAGACTGAGTGGGACTAAAAAGTTCAATCAATCAATTCCAACTTTGCAAGATCTTTTTTTTTCCCGCAAGAAGTTGAAATTGACTGATTGATTAAACCTTTTTTTTTTGTACATGGCAGCAGAGGCCTAAAGTGAAAAGGTTTTATAAAACCCAGCTGAAGGCCTAGGACTGGGGCGACGGTGCGCGTGCCCACAGAGAGGGCTCTGAGTGCCACCTGTGACACGTGTGCCATAGGTTCGCCACCACTGACATAGTATTATTTCAGCTACTGTATGTCTGGTAGTTAAAACCCAGGAACTGGATTCACTTTTGTTTTAGTATTGTCTTTACAAATGCTTATGGTGGTTCCACAAAATCCAGTAGTAAAGGTTTAGCTTCATTGTTAGCTTCACTAACAGCTACATGAAATATGATGAAGTGAAGTGTTGAATATTTATATAATGTTTATATAAAACATTTATAAACTAGTGTATGTTAATGATTTCTTCCCAATTTAGGGACCAGAATAAATACAAAGATGCAGCAAATTTACTGAATGATGCCCTGGCCATTCGTGAAAAGACCTTAGGCAAAGATCATCCCGCGGTCTGTATATAGTGCAGATTTTTGTTTTTCTTATCACATATTCTGTTCCTTAAAATTCATTTTAATGTTAAACTTGAGTGGAAGGTTTTAAAGTGTATTGTTAAACATAATTGAAGTTAGAGAACCTTCAATTGTTTTGAATTTGTAATAACAATACAAATCTTTTTAGCTTTATTTATTTACTTTCTTGATATATGTATCAAGTATATTCCTCTGCTGAAACTGATATTGTCTATAATTGTATTTCTTGAAGTATACTAAAATACAAGTATGTGAGCTATTTAACTTAAAAATCATTTCAGCAGGTATAGTAGTTGATCTAGTGTTTGGTTTTTCTTGCAGGTTGCAGCAACTTTAAATAATCTTGCTGTACTTTATGGGAAAAGAGGAAAATACAAGGAAGCTGAACCTTTATGCAAGAGAGCTTTGGAAATCAGAGAAAAGGTAACAGTTAGCTTTGGGTAGTGTAGAAAAATAATTCCTAAAATTGTAATAATAATAACTTGCCACATACTTTTACCAAATAACACAATAATTACAAATGAAGCCAGTAAAATTAGCTTAGAATCCAATAAATAAATATTAATATAAACCAGAATACCATTATATTTAAAATATTGCCCTCAGTTATTTTTGTTGAAGCTATCTTACAATTATAATATTGGCAGTACAAGTAGTCCTTAACATACGACTGAAATGGAGCTGTCCATTATGTTTGTAAGTTATGACAGTCATAAAGCGGGTCATCCACATGACTGATCAGATTTTGCAATCTTTTTTGTAATGCTTGTTAAGTAAACATTGTGGTAGTTAAATGAACCAACTATTTCCTATGGTCCGGTTTTGCCGAAAACCAAAAGTAAATACCAATTTTGGGCAAAAATATCATAAACTATGGTTATGTGATTGCAGGATTCTGCAAACTGCCATGTAGGCCAGTTCCCAAGTTATGTGATAGGGGGTTGGTGGCGGGTGGCTGTTGGAATTTCAGAACTGGATTGTAGTTATCTTGGAGAGGTCCGTCAGAATTTAAAAGTTGCTAAGCAACCAGTGGTACATTGAGGACTACTTATATGCATGCAGACTAAAGAAGAAAACTAGGATTTTTTTTGTTATAAATATTTGGTGTAATATGGATATAAGGCAGTTTGTTAAGCAGTGATGGCGAACCTTTTAGAGATCAAGTGCCCAAACTGCAACCCAAAACTCACTTATGTATTGTCAGGTGCCGGGTGGGCATGGCCCATTGGGTGGTGTGGCCAATTGGGTGGGCATGGCCCATTGGGTGGGTGTGGCTGTGGTGGTAACAGTAGACTGGGTGGGACTAAAAAGTTCAATCAATCAATTCTAACTTTGCGAGATCTTTTTTTTCCCCGCAAGAAGTTGAAATTGATTGATTGATTGAACTTTTTTTTTTTTTGCACACGGTGGCGGAGGCCTAAAGCGGAAAGGTTTTATAAAACTCAGCTGAAGGACTAGGGCGAGGGCGCGCATGCCCACAGAGAGGGCTCTGTGTGCCACCTGTGGCACGCGTGCCATAGGTTCGCCACCAGAGTTATAGAAACTATTTGTAATATTTGTAATAGGACAGGAACGGTTGTTAACAAGGAAGATTGTATAATTTTTTTTGCAAGTAGTTTTATAAGATAATCTGCATACCAAAAAAACCCCAGTGAAAGCATTAGCACATGCTGCAGGGGGCGGGGAAAGAGCTAAAACATTTTTTAAAAATAGTTGTTATGAATATTTTTTCATTCACAGAATTTCTAATTTAAAAAGAAAAAGATTAGGAAGTGTTTCCACTTTGCTAGCTAAAATCTGAGAGCATGAGAGCAAAAGGGTATTCTGAAGAAAGCAGTAAGAATGCCATGATGGACGCTGGGAAGTTGAGCAATAGGGGACAAAGATAATTTCCTACAGGGCTTTTTTTTATCAACATGATGGAATAAAAAAATTAATGAAGTTGGAGAGGTATAAATAAATGAGAAGAAAGTCTGAAGAAATAATACGAAATTATATAATCAGGGATTTTCAATATTTTATATGTGTGTGTGGTAGATTTAAATTAATATGATTGGCATATCACAACAAAATAATTGCCCAGTCTTTTGTTTACTTAAAATACTCTAGATTAAACCCTTCAGAGACTACAGGTAGTCCTTGACTTAAAACAGTTCATTTAGTGACTGTTCAAAGTTACAACGACACTGAAAAAAGTGACTTATGACTGTTTTCAGCCGTTGCAGCATTCCAATTTGATGGCATTGTCATGTGATCAAAATTCAGACGCTTGGCAACTGACTCATATTTATGATGGTTGTAGTAGCCTGGGGTCACGTGATTACCTTTTGTAACCTTCTGACAAGCAAAGTCAATGGGGGAAGCCATATTCACTTAACAACTGTGTTACCAACTTAACAACTGCAGTGATTCACTTAACAGCTGTGGCAAGAAAGGTAATAAAATAGGGCAAAATTCATTTAACAACTGTTTCAGTTGTGATCATAGGTCAAGGACTTCCTGTAGTTATTAACTTTTAAATAACTCTTGTGTTCTATGAAAGATTGTATTCCCCAAACAACTTATAATTGTGCTAGAAAATTTGCTTTGGCCTTCCAATATGTTTTTGTAAATAGAATCAATGGAAGAATCATTCATGGTACTTTCTTTTCTTATCCAAAACGTCAGCCTTACCAGGTAGACCAGACAGGAAATATGACCGTAATTCTACTTTATTGTAAAGCTACATTAATAGAATCTTGCAAATCTGAAAGTAAAAATCTGTTGTTTCCTTTACAAACCAAGAAACTAGGGAGGGGCCTTATGAGCCTCTTGCTCTGCCCACTATCCAGCTGAGAGCTATGCCCTCTCTTATTTGATTATTCCCATGCAGCTTTTCTTCACCCCATCTCCAAAGGTCTTTCCCACATACCGTTATATAAAACTTCCAAGTAAAGGTACTGCTTATTAGAGCTGTCCATACTTGTTTAACTGTAAGCAATTCTGTAAAGCAGGCATGTCAAGCCCACGACATCACGTAACGTTGCGCGACGTATCGGAGCTTTTTCTCCATTGCCGGCAATGGGGTGGGTGCGGTTTTGGGATGATGCATCCGGCCTATGGGCCGGCAGTTTGACACCCCTGCTGTAAAGTTATACCTGAAAACTTTAAAGCATTTTAACAAGAAAATCATAAAATCATTAACATCTGCATTGCATGTAAATAAATCCTGCTAATGTTGATTGTCAAATTTTGGGCTTGGGATATAATTAAGTGGTTAATTTCAGAGAAAGATAGTTTGCAATATTTTTATATAAGAGTTTTCATTTATAATATTAAAAATAAAATTCATTGTAATAAATTCATTATAAGAATATAAGAAATATAAGAAAAATTAGAGAAGTAAATGTGATAGCAGTAATTCAATCAGCCATTAATTGATAAAAAAATTAATATATGTAGGTCGGCTGACGAAAGAGTATAAAGATTATCTCCATACCTCAATCAAATGGATATTAACTGTATCTGAGAAAAAAAAATGTATTAATGTGAAATTCCTCTTTATTTTTAGGTGCTGGGAAAAGACCATCCAGATGTTGCCAAACAGTTAAATAATTTGGCATTACTATGTCAGAACCAGGGGAAATATGAAGAAGTAGAATACTACTATCAGCGAGCACTTGAGATCTACCAAACAAAACTGGGGCCAGATGATCCAAATGTAGCGAAAACAAAGAATAATTTGGTATGTTTGTATAGGAGAATAAAAAGCAGAGAAGCAACCCATTGTAGTTCTCCCTTGCTGAATATCTGAAACGGGTTTCAAAACACTGTGCCTTAGCTGCTGGTTCGTCCTACAAATGCTTACACAAGTGATAATATTGACATTTAAATTTAAGATATGCTAAAGTAATGGTTTCTCTCTTCAGGCATCCTGCTATTTGAAACAAGGGAAATTTAAGCAAGCAGAAACTTTGTACAAAGAGATTCTTACTCGTGCCCATGAAAAAGAATTTGGCTCCGTGGATGGTAAATGTTTATATTATGAAAAAATGTTAGACATGCAGATTTTCCCCCCAAATGATGTGGTGTATGGCATGTTACATATTTAAAAATAATACAAATTTTAGACATTCTTATATTAAAAGTGTTTATTTCTATGTTAGTTCTGCAGATCTGATCACAGTTATTTTTTCAAGTGATACATATTTCAAATTGTACTTAAGTGGAGGCATACCCAACCTCCCCTTTAAATTGAGCAGATTTCTCTCCCCTCCCCCCCAATATATTACTAAAACTCTCATGTCTGCAACCATTAACTGGGCATAACAGTGCACCATAGAGCAAAAAATTTTCAACCACGATATTTCAAATAGGCTAACTTACAGAATGCGTTCAAAATCCAGGAGCCATGACTCTTGTTGCACTGAAATTTGATTAATTTTATAAAACATTTTATGTCTTATTTTATTTGTATTATAAAACATAATATAAAATGTCTTAAAACATTTTCCATGGTCAATTCAAATTTGACTGTGCTATAGAGTTCAACATGGGCTACTTTTGAGACAGGTACATTTCTGAATAACTTCCTGAAGCTTTTAACAACATTTCTAGTACATTAGAAGCTCTGCCATTGTTGAATGCATTGAGGAATCTATTAAGGAAATAGCTCTAAAATGATGACTCAGGAGGTCACAGGTTGTTTCAGTGCATAATAAATAAGGGATGGAAGAAGCATTTTTAAAAGCAAAACATTCAAATGACATTGGTTACAGTTATCCGTCTGCTTTTAGGCCTCTTTTCATAAGTAATAAAATTCTGCACAGTGTCGTAAAATATAGTACTAATAAAAATAAGTCAGCTGAGTGTTATTTCACACAAAAAATACAGTTTGTATATAGTAATTTCAGTATAGTGGCTTCATTACACTAAATCGGTTATGTCAACAAGGATGCATGAGTTGTCAGAAATACTGTGATAAATGAAAAACTTCATATGCTTTAGCAGACAGCAGTGTTCTCTCAACCTGCTATTTGAAGGCTGGTTGAGATCAAAGCTACTTTAAATAGAACAATTTGGAGTTATAGATCTTTTTTCCACAGCTTCTAGTAAGCTAGATGCATTTTGACACAGTGGGATAAGACAACTTTCTGTGGCATTCACCTTATTTAAAAAAAATTAGAATCTTTACAATAGTAGAAGTGCAAGTTACAAGTTAATACTGACTAAGATGTTTTAGAAACTAGCAGAGTCTAGGATAGATTTTTCTATATATTTATAAAATGTTTCCTTAACCATTATTCTGGAATGTGTGGTAATTTTATTTCACAATTCAATATTTTACTCTTACATAGATGAAAACAAACCGATCTGGATGCATGCTGAGGAGAGAGAAGAATGCAAAGTAAGGAATTAAAGAACAGAAATGTATTTATAAGTAAATATGTTGTTGTTAATTTGTATTCCACTTTTCTGCTCCTTAATATATTATTTTCACTTTAGGGAAAACAAAAAGATGGCACTACATTTGGTGAATACGGAGGCTGGTACAAAGCTTGCAAAGTTGACAGGTAGGTATATTTTCCCCAAAACATTTCTAGCATTTGGCTGTGGCCAGTGCTATGAATTCTGAAATGAAAAGAAATCAATGGGTAAAAAAGCCTAAATCATTTTTTAAAATTGTGTCATAGTATCAGAGTCTCTGCTTTCTAATGTGATATTTTTTTCATTTAAAAGAGGAGATGTGAAGTTTCTAGTGTGCAAACTTTTTCTGTTTAATTCTTTGGGTTCAGTGACAAGAACACTAACTTTCACAATCTCCTGCTTGTCTATTGCACTTGATGCTTGTGGTGTGATATCAGTGGACTAAACGTATTTTATCCCGGCTAGATAGGCCTATGTCTTACTTCAAAACATTCAACGTTCTTCAAAACATTGTAGGGGATGTATAAGAAAATGATCATTTTACCAAAGCTATAGGTAGTCCTCGAGATACCACTGTAATGAAGCTTGCCCATTATGGTTGCAAGTAGTGATGGCTATTAAACGAGACAGCCTTGCTTAATGACTCCCCCACCCCCCCCAATTCTCCTTGAAGCAGCTGTTAAATGAATGTGTGGAATGTTAAATGAAGCACAGGGTGCTTCAGGTGCGGGGGGAGGCCCTTGGAGGCCTAGCAGAGGCCCAGGCCCAATTCTCCCCATCTCCCAAGACCCCCCCCCATGCTCTGCTTTCCAGCCCTTAGGTCTCCACTGGCCTTTTCCTTCCCCACCACCAGTCCCTGCAGGTCTTTGCCCCCACCTGGTCCCCACAGGTCTTAGGATGGATGCCTACCTCATGAGGCCACACATATTCCTCCTCACTTACCTTTTGAAACTCTCTGCATGGTGATGAGGCTCCCTAGGTGGTGAGCTGTCATTTTTAACACCCCCCCAATTCTTTGCAGGTACATCAGAATGGTAGCTGCTTCCATGAAGCTACCATGCAGCCCAGGGACAAACCACTATGCTTTGCTTCTAGAGCTGCAGAAAGTTTCTACAGTATTGTGCAAACCGCTTAAGGCAGCAAAACAGTGTGATTTTTCCTGGGCCGCATGGTGGCCTCATGAAAGCAGCCGCCAATTTTCCAAACTAGAATTTTAATGGGGCCTATCAGCTTAATAGCTCTTTTAAAACTATAAAGGTTACAATTATTCGGGAAACTTGTTAACAATGTGCAAACTTGTTGATTCCAAAATGAGTAGTTCTAGAGAACTGTGCAAGATTTTGTTCCCACCGGGCCAGCCTCTTCTTGGAAAGTGGGAGAGGTTGCAGCTTTGGGCAGTAAATTCTTGAAACCAGAAGCATTTGAAGTGTTTCCAGTGTTCTTGATCAAAAAAGGCTGTTCCATCTGTAATGTTTTCTGTAAACTATCTCAAACTATTTTCAGTTCAGAGGATTTATTTACAGAAACCATAAAACCATCCACCAGAACAGTATGGTCTAGAGAAAAATCTTAAATATTCTCAAGAATATTCCTGAGTTGCCTGAATAAATTGTTTTGCAAAGCCCTCTGCAGAACCTAGCTACAGAGTATTGCTCTGCCAAGGGCTTGATTGATTCAGCTAATGGATTTACTATAGGGATTAAAAGCATTTTATGGCCTAAAGTGGTTATGCTAGACAAGCACCACTATGCCTTGAGAGAAGGAGCACCAAAGGAAGTAGCACTTCGTATATTTGTGTTATTGCTATTGCTCTTCATTTCTAATAATTCCTATTTTTAATATTGATACAGCATTGAACTTGTAAAATGTTATTAAGAGGTGGTTTTACTTCTTTTACTGGAATAAAAGTGTTCACACTTGCTGTAAGAGCAAAGAATGATAAATCAATGCAGAGTATTATATATCAGATATTTTTATGCAGTTTTTCTTTTTAAAAAAAAACTGAACAAAGTTGATAAATGAAAATTGATAATACAATTTGTATGTTTTAAAGCTATTGCTTTAGAACTAGTGTAGCTATAAAATGGATTAAAATAACTATGAAAACAGTTTATGCCCTTTGCAAGTATGTTCTCCAAAATCACTTATAATATTAAAACTGATTTCTGCATGGACATTTCCATAGCAAACAAGTATTTAAATTCAATGCAGTTAGGAAATAAATGCCCATTACTTTATTAATTAGGCTTAAGATGAGCATTGGCTTTTAATCTTCCACTGCAATCTTAAGCAGGATTGCTGCAACAACAGGTAGTTGTGGACTGCTGTCAGAAAATAATTTTGATTTTTAATTAACAGTCCAACAGTTACAACTACTTTAAAGAATCTTGGAGCACTTTACAGACGTCAAGGCAAATTTGAGGCTGCTGAAACACTGGAAGAGGCAGCAATGAGGTCCCGTAAACAGGCGAGTACCATACTATAACACAAAAAGGTTTTTCAAAATGTTTAAAGTGTTTAAATTTTTGATATTACATAATCATTATTTTAGAGCAGAACAAATATAAATTTAGGAACAATGGATGATATGTATTCCTTTATTGCATGAAATATTAAAAAGGCTGCCATAAACAGGCCAAAGCAACAGGTTCAAGGATATCTTTGCAGCAAAATGCACCACTGATTACATCAGGAAATAACAATTCCAAGCGCTCTTAAAAGTCATTGACGCCAAGTCTGTGCCCAGTACAAGAATCGAGTGCTAGCATCTTTGACAAATGACCATTCAGTATCTGTCTAAGCACCTCTGTTTAATCAGTGACGCATAGGATCACAGTTTGCATACATAGGAGCTTAGCAGGCCGACCATAAAGGAGTCCTTTTTACATTTTTAAATGAATACCAGTCTCCAAATCAATAAACAAAGATCACTAGAGAATGGAGCAATGCATAAAAAACAAGGACAAATGATCAGTGATAGCACCGAAGTAAAAAACTTGCAAGAGCTATCCAGAAAACTTACTTTTCAGATGCATCCAGAAAGCCTAAAAGAAACAGCAACAAATCAAGGTGATCTGCATAGATTTGGGAGACAAATTTGAACTATGTTGATAATGGTTAGCTTTATTCAGCTATTGCCCTTTTGTCTTGTTGATTATGGAGGTTTCAAACTATCTTTGAAAAAGACAGTTACTGCATATAGAAAGGTATCCTGTATTTCAGTATTGACAAGAAAGAACCAAAAACATGTATGGAGTGTACACACACCTAACCAGCAAAACAGATAGACAATTCATGGCATGATGATTTTGGCTGGGGAAGAATGGGCCTCCAGCCTGAGCACCAGTTTCATGCTCTGTGCACTGTTGCTTGTTCTTTGAGTACATGATGCCTCAGCACAAGCACAACCTGTTTGTGACCCATTTGGGTTAGTGCCTGGAGTCCAGCAACACTGTTACTGGCCATACATGTTGAAGATAGGCCATGTGGATGAATCCTGTGGACTCTGTTGAAGTATAATGCTTATTTAGTGACTGCTCAGAGACTGAGGACTCCTGGGTGAGCCATCCATTGTGCATTCAGTGTGATTGAAAGAGACACAACCAAATCTCTGCTCCAGTGTCAAGCCCTAACAAGTTGAACAAGATGAAGGAAGCAATTTTAGTAAAGGATATTTAGTACTACTCTGGAGATAAATATAGAATCTTGGAAACTATAGAAGGATTTTCTTATCTTCATTTATTGTGAGTTTTAGGCAGAGTCTCTGAATGATTTGATTTGAAAAGCTACTCGCTGATGTTTGTTTTGTCTTTCTTTGTTGTAATAGGGACTTGACAATGTTCACAAACAAAAAGTTGCTGAAGTACTTAATGATCCAGAAAGTATAGAGAGAAGGCAAAGCCGTGAGAGCCTTAATATTGATGTGGTAAAGTATGAGAGTGGACCAGATGGAGGAGAAGAAGTGAGTATGAGCTTAGAATGGAATGGGGTGAGTACAGTACACAGTGCAGTCAAGTTTTTATTCTGTTGGTGTTATAAAATATTCTTGGTTTATATTTATCTGCAGATTTGAGTAAAAGAAAAATCCTGCTTTTTATATTTTAAAATTAATTGGATAATACTCAAATGGGGGAAATCAAGGAATTAATATTTGGATCTTGCTGTGCGTGCTTGAATGCTGATTGAATGTCCTAGTTAATATAGGGCCTAAATCAAGCTAATGGTTGTTTTTTTTTAGTGGAAGCAAAGTATGACAGTCACATGCTTGTGTTCTTTACTACTTAAAAAGTTTGCTGATTCAGGAAACAAACACTGCTATAAACTCAGATGGAATGATATAAAAGAAAAAAACCCTAGACGGTGTATTGTGAAAACAAAATGAAAAGAACTTCTGCATAAATGAAATCTACTTTTTTTCCATACAGGTAGTCCTCATTTAACAAACATTCATTCATGGTGCTAAATAACTGGTTTTGTCATGTGATTAAAATTTGGATGCTTGGCAACTTGGCTGTACTTATGATTGCATAGGTTCTTCAACTCCTCTCACTTTCCCACCCCCCGATCCGTTATTTGTCTTTTTGGTCATTTTGTACAATGGACTCTTTGGTGGTGGCGACACCGGCGATGGTGTGATAGTGGTGGAACTAAAATAGGCCCAGCCAGCCACACCCAGGTCTACTTATGCCATTCCTCAGATAGGACTCACGGTTGCCTAAATTATGCACACCATTCTTATAATGCTTCGGAAGGCCTCAGAATATTTCTGAAGCATTGTGAGATTTAGAGAATGACCCTCAGGAAGAAGGTCTGGCATAGTCAGCAACTGCCTCACATACAGCCAGGTTGGGCATGCCTCATCAGTGGGAAGAAGATGGTAAAGATCAGCTGGGTGTGGTAGGACTTGCAGAGTGCAGGGCAGTGGTGATGACTGGGACTTTGTGCTGTGGCTCTAGTTGGCTGCAGGGTGGGCTCTACGTTGTGGGTGGTGCTGAGGTTGAAGAAGGGTTCCAGGGGGCAGTGATGGCAGGCTAAGACTGCTGAAGGCCTTGGGCCTCTTATTTCAGCCCCACTGTTGCTGCCGCCGCCACCGCCAAGGAGTACTGCTGTGCAAAGTGCCCAAAGGCAGAGGTGGAAAGGAGATAGGAAGGTGGGAGTGCTGAAGAGGAGGCTCCCTTAACTTACCGGGGCTCAGGACAGGGAGGGATCAAGCCAGGAATGGCTTGGATGTAAATGGGTCCTTGCTTATTCACCAGTGGGATTCAATTAACAACTGCAATGAAGACTGCCAGGATTGCTATTGCCAAGTGATGTGGTCACTTAGCATTGTACTTTACAATTGCATCCCTTAATGACAGAAATTCCAGTCCCAATTAACCATCGTAAGTCTAAGACCACCTATATGCTGTGAGCTATGCTGCAGAATCTACTTCTGTATTCAACATTTCTGAAAATTCATGGCACTAGAAATGCAAAAATAAAATCTGACTCTTACAACTGGCTAAATTACTGCTTCCAAACATCAGCGAAGTCTGTTGTATTTTTTTTAGAAAAAATGTTTTTTTTTTAATTTCATGCCATCTGCTCCCATTGGGTAATGCAAAAAGTGTGCCATAAAATTAAAACAAAAAGCACTTTCTAAAGCCAGTATTGATTGAACCTGTTTTTCTATTTGTCTGATAACTTTATCATTGTTATAATGATTCTTGCTTATTGTAGCAGCAAATAGTTTTCTAGCTTTGATTTGTAACTGAATACCCTGAGCAGATACAATTATTGTTCACGATAAGCGCATCATGATAATTTTGTTTTTATAATACATTGGAAACCAATAGCAATTCATCTTGCATTTGGAAGTGTAGATTAGTTTCAATACTGGGATATTTTTCGGAGATGTCTTCTATTGCTCTAAAATCTTGCCTGAATTTTAGAGGTGGTTCTACAGTATTTTGTTCCTTTCTTCTTCGACTTTTTTCCTGCTCGTCTTTGACTTTTCTTTGACTTTCTTTCTGATTTACTATTAACAGTGCTAAGACAGTCAATCAGCATATAATAGAAACACCATTACCTTATTATTCTTTAATTTATCCTGTTGGAATTAGAACTGTGTACTGTACTCTTCCCTGATTTTTTTTCTCTGCTTGGCATGCCTTCAGTTTTCAAGTGCAGAAAGATGCATTTTTTCCATGTGTTTTACTTTTTATTAAGATATATGCAGATTTGCAATTGATAACGCATTCAAAGAAATAAACAGTATTTCTTGGTCACAAATAGTCCATATTTAAAATATTCTGATCAATAAATGACTTTCTTTAAAATGGAAATATCTGCTTTGAATAATATGTGGTCTTTGGGGTTGAGTAAACTAGATTTAAATCATGTCAAAAGCAGCTGTAATTTAAACACATCCATCATATTCTTATAAAACACTACTGAATTTGAGATTCTTCTCTAAGAATATTAATCATTTTGTATTGTTTAAAATGTTATCTTTGCCTGAAATGTCATCTTTAAAATAATCCTAGCAGTTTGTGATATTGAAATAATTATTTGGACAGAAATTTAATACAATAGGGATTTTCAGCCTTTCTCTTTTACATTCCCAACTCACTTTAATATCTCACTAAACCTCTCCAAAGGGACTTTGTCTTTTTTTAAAATAATTTTATTAAAAGTTTTAATTACAATAATAAAAGATAATGCAAACTAAGAATAAAAAAAGTGCAAGAAAACAAAATAGAAAGAAAAAATAGAGAAAGAAAAAGGACCTTTCCACTGTCATCACAAATATAAACAATATCACTATTTCTTCAGCTCCTTAATTAATACATATGAAGCTCTTCATCCCATATCTCTTAACTATAGGCAAATAAGTAAATAATGTCTTATCCGATCCAGGTGTCAGCAAAAAGTCCTAAAATAATAACATTAATTAAGAGATGTAAAACTCAGTATTCAATATCTCAGCCCTTCACCATAAATAAATGCACATTTAGAAGTCACAAAGCGGTCCCAATATTTTAGCTCAAACAAAAGACTAAAATTTAACATTAGAAAGTGGGGCAACTATAGCGAAAAAGGTATAACTTGGTGTTAACTGAAAGCAAATCAATACAAAATATTTTTCATTACAGAAGTCAGCAAATCCAAAAAGAACATGCAAAATAATAGCATGTCCGATTTTAACCCTGATCAAATAAACTGACTTTGTGTTCCTTTTTACATAAAACAATCTTTAATCCATTCAAATAATTGTTGATCCTTGTTTTGAATTTCTTGAAACAGCCTCTTTTTTAAGTACAACAAAAATAAATTATTCTAATTGCTCCCTGCAATTTTTTTATTTCATTTTTATTTATTTCTTAATTTTTAAAGCCTCATCCATTTACAGATTGTTCCCAACAAAACACAGTATTGCTGGCATTGATTCAAAGTCCCAATGCAGTTCTTCAAAAATGTTTCTGAATGCCATTATAAATTGCTCATCTTGTTACATGTCCAATATCGAAAGCAATTTTTTTTTCTCATAAAAATACATTTATTCTTTAAAATTAATTTCAAAGTCTTAATATACAAAAACCAATATTTCAAAGTTTTCTGTAGCCAAAACTTTGTTTTGCTTTTTAATATTTTATTTTAAATTCTTAAATGTTATAAAGATACATCTTCATTTTTTTTACATTAAGGATTGAAGGTACTCACTCACTGTTTCTATCCTTGTCATTTTGAAGGTGTAGCTTCTTTAAAGCAATTAATAGGCAATTTCCAAAAGTGGAGTAAGTATGGCAAATTTCCTTAGCTCCCAGTTTACCTCATACTCGGTAGAGTCCTGCTTTGCAATCTACTTGGGAGAAGTAACTGTATGGAGCACAACTTGGGTACCTTTGTGTTCTCTCTTTGACCAGAGGGGGTTGAAGGAGCTGATCTACTTGTCAGCTCCCTATTCTTAGCTGCAAATTTCAGCTGCGTTGTTTGCCGAGCCATCTTTAATCTGCCATTCTGTTCCTAGAAGTCTTCAAGGGAATGAATGCAAGTAATTGCAATGGAAATAGACTTCAAATGCATATTGGGATACAATATATACTTACATATTCTTAATTGAATGTACAACATTTTAAAATCTTTCAGAACAGCCTCTTGATTAAGAATAAATATTATATTCAAAAGTCTTCTTTTAAAAGAAGGGCTGGTTATCCTAGACAGTAATGCTTGCATCCATTCAGGGTATTTTATTATTCATTCTTACACCATATTCTTAACAACATTCTTCCTTTTAGAAGTGGTCAAGGCAATATTTTAAACAATAAATACAAAAATGGTTACTTTAAAACTTTTAAATATTTAACATACCGTGTAGCTCCTGTGCTGTGATAATTTTGGAAAGTCTACCAATAAGAATAAATGTGCCTAATAATGTGTATAACTGTTGGGATCCTCTTCATGGATAATAGTTTTCTAATCTTCAGTAGTTTTCATTATTTTCTAATCATTTCCTCATGTTGCAACTATTTTCTCTCTCCCAAAAGTGCTTTAACAATCAAAGCTTGGGAGAAAACACATATACATTTATGTATTTATTTATTTTTATCCCATCTTTATTATATTTATAAATAACTCAAATCAGCGAACATAAATTGTGGTTGTAAATTTATTATTATTTATGAAACTTGTATACCACCCATCTTGGAACTGACATTTCCCTCCTTGAAATCTAGGTGGAAATCAGTTAATGGAAAGAACAACAACAAAAGGAATTGATAAATAGTATTTATTCAAAGAAAGGTTGAGGCTATAATACAAGTATTCCAATAGGTATCTTTTAAATCTTATAGTATACTTTTGTTTAGGCAATTTGTGGTTGCAAAACTCTTGCCATTTCTTCTACTTTTTAATTTAAAGGACTGGAGGCGTGCCTCTTTTGGGAAAGCTGGGCAGTCTGCATCTGTTCATTGCTTTGCTACTTTAACAGTATAATAAAGTTTTAGGAATATTAATGCATTTATTAGGAGCACATTTATTCCCATTGGTATTGTTCATAGTATCTAAAAGTTAAATTATTCTACCTTGTTCCGATTTTTTCTTTTTGAGGTTTTTTTGTCCCTTTGGCTGATGTGCTTTTTTAAATGGAAATTCGTTGGCTATAAAATCTATATGTTCTCAATTATATCATAATCACAGAATGATGAATACTAAGAGTTTTGCAATAGAAGATAAAGGCCTGCCTAAAGGCTTTTATTTTCATTTTAAAAATATTAGATTTTTTTCATCTCTGCTAAGTATTTATACACAGCAATTCACATAATTATGTGACCTAGAAATACTGTTAACAAGTATTAACAAGCTTGAAACTGAAAACTGTTGAACTTCCTCCACAACAGTTTCATCCAGCTTTTTCTCTCTCCATTTCTGTCCGACAGGCCTAGATGCCTTTTCTGACTCTAATACTGTCTCCTGCATGACGGGCGTACACCATCTTCAAGCTCTAACTTCTCTCCACTACTGACTGCTGTGAATTTAGCAATCCCTTAAGATATTTGTCACAGCTATACTTCCTGTAAAAATGGCCACTTCTTCAGTGCTGGTGTCTCTTTCATTTGGGACAGGGGATCTCTTTCTCTTGTATATGTGTCGCTTTGCCAGATATGTAGTCTTCTAGAATGTAGTCTTAATAACCATTTGCTGTGTAACAGATGAGTTAACAAAACTAAGAATGAAAATTCATAAGTAGATGTTTCACTATAATGAAAGATAGTTTAAGCTATTACACAAGAAATTAAAATGGCATGAAGGTTACTTTGACAGAGTAATTAGTTAAAAAACACTCAAAATGTAAGGCACATGCTTATATTGTATTTAGACTTATAACAGGGTTTAACATCAATATAGATGTCTTGACTTAATGCTTATTCAAAAATAGCAGTGCTGTTTAGTATTCATGTGAAAATGCAATTATGCTTTTCTCTACTAATCTTGGTGATGGGTAACTTTGTGTATTTGTCTAATAAACTCAGTCCAACTGACGTCTGTCTCTGTCTTCTGCGTACTACTTTCTGACCTTTTGTATATGGAAAGATTTAATTTCCAAAACAGCAAGGTATTAGTAACTTGAAATAAAGCATAAACAAGTTACTTAGAGAATAAAGTTAACAAATATTTCACCATGTAAATTGGTCTTCTGGAAAGTGAATTAAAATACCACCAAATATATTATTGTAAAATTATGGACTTGCATCTTAACTTTTTAGAATACTGTTAAGGTTAAAGTGCAAGAACTTCAAAATGTTTTTTGCTATCATATACTTCTGTTCTTAATATCTGCTTGCTATGTATGAGCCAAATGAGATTGAGCCTCAATAAAATCTTGCTCACTCAGGTGTTACTACAATGCTACTGCTTGGTGGTGGACTTTTGTTGTATTCTTATTACTGCATCATGGTTTGCATGGACTGCAGTATGCAGCTAATAGAAATGTTGGCTATTGTGCAAGGAATTGCCTTTACCTATACTGTTTTAATACATGTTCATTTAATTTCAGTGGAAATGAGCAATTAAGTGTTCAGATAATTAAATCATTTTATCTTATTAAAATTATCTACCAAAACTTGCTTCATTGAAATGTATGAGAATTATAATTCCTGGTTAACTTGTCATCATGGTGAACTCTTTAAAGTGATGCACCCCTGACAGATAATATGCTCTGTGCTTATTTTAATCTACTCATCTCAGAACCATTATCACAGAATCTTAGAATTAAGGGTTCAAAGTGATATTGGAAATTATCAACTCTTATCTGTTAAGAATAACTTTTTGTTAAATTTTGTTTGAAATTGAGATACTTGCTTATAACTTTAGTGACAGCAGAACATAACCAACTGGTGTTTAGTTGTGATCGCTAAACTCTGACAAAGGATGAATGATTCGGTGGTTTTAAACATGCTCATTTTTTTCAGGATGGCAGTGGATCATTAAAACGCAGTGGTTCCTTTAGCAAACTTCGTGCTTCAATTAGACGCAGCAGCGAGAAGCTGGTTAGAAAACTGAAGGGAGGAAGTTCACGAGAAAGTCCTGGGTAATTATTTCTAGATGTGTTGCAACACATGGGAATTGAATTATGCCTAAACCTATCCTGCTGTGAAATGGGTTTATCTGTTGTGAGAATACACAAGTTTAATCAGGAAGCAGTTCTCACAAAAATGCAGTACATAGGATGTTCTGGAAAGTTGGTTTTAAACAGTTGTAAAAAGTTTGCTCTTAATTTGATTGTAAACAGTATTATGGCTTTGTAAAAATTTTGATATTATATAAATGACTAGTTCAAGAATTAACTGCTCTGTCTTCCCACATAGAATGACTAATGCACTTGGCTGGAATTTCAGCAGGTTCTCCTTAATAAAATATGAGCCTTTAATTTATTCTGAAAGAGTTATTAAGATTTAATTGGTACATGAGAAATTGACACATGTATATATAATATCTAATCAAACTAGATTGTTGAAACTGTACAGATCTATTTAATTGGGTACTTGTTTACATTTATTAAACATGTAAACATGTAATATTTTTTTTCCAATTCTCACATATTAATAAAAGCTGTTTTATCTACTTTGTCTAGAATTCCTGCGAATAAACTATTGTTATATTAAAATGGACTGAAATTCTTTATCCAGTCCGTGTAGTGCATAAAAGATATACTTGCGACCAATATCATCATTTTGAAATCTATGCTCATTCTTCCTTATGGATCATATGGTTTGATTTTTTTTTTGTAAAAAGCATGAATAACTTCGCACTCCAAATATACAGAGATATGTTATTGGAATGTGTGTGTGTGTGTGTTTGTGTGTAGAGAGAGGGAGTGAGAAAGAGATTGAGTTGTATTCAGGTCAAAGGAAATAAACTTACAGATTTTATTACATGAAAGTATTAACTGTTACAAGAAGTTACGCAATGCTATTTTCAATAAGAACAATGGAGACAATCCTTGTTGGAAATATAGAAACCAGTCTTTATTTCTAACTATGGTGCTTTGAAAAACAGGTAACAGTAATAAAGGAAAGGAAAGCCTTTCTTTTAACAAGAATCTAGATTAGAGGTGATTCTTTTTTGCTACTTTGCTACTTTTTTGCTGCTTGTGATTATTATTTGGCTTATTATAACCATAAGGGCCTTCATCCCATAACCTTTTCTATTTCTGTCACTTTCTAGTTTGGAATATTCAGTATTTAGGTTATTGATAAGACAATTAAACTTTTTTGGGATACTTTTTCTCTGAACTACTAGATTTTTAGTCAATAAATAATAGCAAAATATTTCCAAAGCCACTTACTTCTTTCCTTAAAATATGCTTAAATGTGCCTTCTGTTTCTTTTAAGCACATTTTGCCTTCTAAAACCAGCCTTTTCTCTTTGAAAACAACTTAAAAAATTGTATACATTTTGCAGGTCTTTTATATTGCTTTAAAATTTTGCATTAGCATATTCTTTCATCACTTTTAAAGAAAGTTTGTTTTACAAATAAAATACTTAACTACTTTCATTGCTTCCCAAAGAGCAACCCACTTTGTTCTGAAAATATACATTCTATAAAATATTGTTAAATAACAATATTATTTAAGTGCCCTTATTTTCATTAAGAGCTATTTCTATTAATTTGATAAATAAATCTATACTAATAAATCTACACAAGTGAAAAACGTATCAGTTTTTGAATAGTATTGGATATGGGGAGAAGGAAACAAATGAAGATTTGTGTATTACTTTATAAAGTTCCATACTCAATTTTGAAAGAGAATTACCTATATTTTTAAGAAAAAGGAAGGTTTACTGACTGAATTATCATTCATTTGTCCCATATGAATTGCCTTTATAATATTTCAGAGTTTGTTTACCTGATCAAAAAACAATGCTGGGGTTCAAATACAATGTTATTTTTTAAAAAATTTCTTACAATTGAAGTAGTATCCTTCTAAATTCACAATTATTGTTGTTATAATTGCTTGTTTTATTTTTATTCTAATCCAAGCTACAATATTTTCCCATCTCATTTATTCTAACTTTTCTTCCTTTTTTTGCAATTCCTTCAGAAGAATTGCAGTGTTTCCCTCTTTTAAATTAAAAAAAAAACTGGTTTTCCTTTTCGAACCACTGTTTTTATTTTTTCCAAGATGGTTGTTTGCTTTCAAACCTTCCAATCTGTCCTAATTCAGTAAATCACAGTAGATGGGAGCACTCAACAAAACTTACCTGATCTCAGAAAAGTTAAGGATGGTCAGAACTTGTTAGTATTTGGATGGGAATTTATTAGGAAATTCCAAGAATGTAAATTCTGTACTATACCAAAAAAAAAACCACAACCAAACCCTACCTGCATATGTCCAGATAATTACCAGAACATGAGCTTTGAAGGAGTTTTTGCATTCAGAAAAAAATCTTAGGTAGCTACAGTGTGAAACTTGGAAGTCTTACATTCTGTGTTAATTAACTTTACTTTGCCATAATTAAGTTGGCACTGCTGGAGTTCTTTATAAAAAATTAAATTCTGATATTCAAATTGTCACTGTTGATAATTATATATCTTCTCTTCTATATTACTTTCATGTTCCTATATTACTTTCATGCCACTTCATTTCTTTAAATAGGATTATTATGCTAAGATTTAAGAAACAATTTAAAACATTGTTTATATAAATAGCCATGATGGTTGTTAGAATCAAAATAGCAGGTCTCAGAGCAGTATCACAAACTGCTTTTGACAGCCTGCCTTAAGAGACTTACACTCTTGGAAACTGCTGTTTGTGAATCATAAATCCATAGGTTCAACATGTATGATACCTTGAATACTGCTGCAAGTGGGAATTTGCCCAAAGAGAAGAATAACAAGATTCCAATCTACTTTTATTTAATACAAATTGTTATGCAGTTTAACCTCTAACTAGTATCTCATTTGAAGTGATATCTGTATATGATGGAGTTTATGTGTGTTCAGTAAAATATTGGCTCATAATGTCAATTTTTAGGGTTGGATTTGTTTGGTTGTTTGTTTTTTATAGAACAATTTATACCACTACCCACCTCCAACTTAGAATTTGGGGCCAATGGTTTATTGGACATGCTTAAGGAAATCAAATTAGCACTCAGCAGTAAATAATAGCTTTTTCTTTATTCAAGAGGCAGAATATGCTCAGATCAAATTGATTAGAGTTAATTTTTTATTACAGACAAGAAGCCATAAACAGTGATTGCCCAGTGCAGTGCAAAGAAGTCACAGACTGTGTATATCTGTACTCTATAGCCACAGTTAACTTTCTAGGCTTCTTGCACCCACCTTTCTAAATTAACTGGTAGGCCTCTAGATGCTAATGTCCTCCTCTCCAGTCTCAGGCCTTACACACTCATGTTTTACACAGCCCTCTAGTGTCTTTAGTGGGCTATCTAGTGCTGATACTAGTTAAAATCCTCAGTATTTTTTCTGTACCTTATTGATTTGTACTTGAAGGAATGGTGCTGCAAGAATAATAGTATCATGACCTAGTTGCAGATTTTAATGCAAAAGGAAATTTTGAAACATGTAAAAACTGGATTTTGTCTTGCCAAAGGCTTCCCGTATTTGCAATGGTCATATACTACTTGTATTCCAAAACAATTAAATTTATATCAGAGAAAACCTTGGGTATGAAGTCAATTTTTAAATTGATTGTTTAATGTTTCAGTGTCATCTATGGATAATTTTCATTTACAAACAGAGTTTATGTACATATTTGTGCTGTGTTATACATTTTTAGATTAACAATATGTGTTTAACTATATATTTATAAATAAATAACATGTAAATATTGCATGACTTACTACTTTATGTTGATAACACCTGTATTTTAATATGCATGCATTGAAGTTCTTGAATATGCTGAAATATATTGTTATTGTTGGCACTAATGCAGTGTAAATATTTCTTATTTTGTATACCTTAGTTTATAATAAATTTTCTTGAATTTCTAAGGCTTGTACTACTTGCCATTAGGAATGCATAGGTGAGAACAATATATATATGTGTGTATTGCTGGGGCTGTCTTTTGGTTAACCTGTGCCAAAAGATACAATGTGCCTGTCTACTAATATACACTTGCTTTACTCACAACACAAGTCTGTAAGATCAAGTAATTTCAGCCACCACAATCTGGCCTTGCCAGTGAAGGGAAAACTTGCAAATTTCTCATAAAAAATCTATTATCTTATCATTTATCAAATGACTAATGTAAACTGACTGGGTAGTAATAGCCAGCTATCTCAAGTTTTTCATCCAAAAGCATCAAAGTTTAATTAGTCACCCGACTTTACTGTTTTAGACCTTAAAGGTTCATAAGAATCCTAGCTGGCATATATCCAGGTTTTGCCTATATTTACTTAATTTAAAGTTAGTGCAAATGTTTGCTGTGCTAAGCACATCCGATATAGAAAAATAGTAATTTGTGTATTATGCTACTTGGTTTTAAATCTTAAGGGTAACCCTCTTAAATTTTAGAAGCCCTTAAATTATTATAGCTGTAGTTCAATGTAGGGTAATTGTTCAATAAATCTTGGAATATACCATGGAAATTCTACAAGGTTTTATAAGCATTGTTACAGCTAAATATGTTAATAATATCTTTTGGGGCTTAAGAGTTGATTATGTTGGTTAATACAGTAAGATTTGCTACTAAATCTCCTTTGCAGATTGTGGACTTCAGTTGGCTAATGTTGGAATATTAGGGCAGAATTTTGGCAATGCCTCATATGTATTATATTCAAGAAACTATCTCTAGAAAAGAGAATATCTAAAAACCAATAATTTAAATTATTTAATTTAAATTAAAGATATTAAGGGACTAGTCAAGATGGGCAATCGTTTGTCCATTCAGTTACCAAGAATGAATGGCACATTCTTAACTAAAGGATTTTTTTAAAAAATGTAGATAGTACTATATCTACTTTTAAAATAATGATTTGAAACAATATGATACAGTTTAAGTTTTAGAAGCTCTAAAGTCCAGTTAAGAATAAAAGAATTTGTTAAGAAAATGGTACTTAAAATAATCTTAAATTTTATGATCTTTTGTGATAAATATAGGAAAATGTGTGTATACTAAATTGTATTTCTTTCAGTCATAATAATGTTATTAGTGTAGGAGTTATTTTCTTGTTATATATGTTTTGTGTATTCAGAGCTTTCCATTTTCAGCTCTTCTGATTGGTTTATCATTGCATGTTTACTGTCCAGCATGAAGCGTGCCAGTTCAATGAATATTCTTAACATGGGTGGCAAAGCAACTGAAGATCATTTTCAAGTAAGAAGCCCTATAATATTCTTATGTAATTAGATGTTACTGGCAGGGCTTAAAATAGCTATAGGTAAAATGACAGATTTGGGCATATCAGAACCCAAACTCAGACATGGAAATAAGTTTGATAGTGTTTCATTCCTAATTTTATGTCACAACACTGCAAAGCTTCTAGTATGTAGGCCCAACAACTTTATTTAAAGTGGCCACCAACATTTGCAGTGTTACCCTTTTATATACGGTTGACTGCTGCTAATTCATTGCTCTTTCTATTCTCTGAATATTTTAGGGCAGAAATTCCAGTGTTGTCAATAGAAACAACAAGTCTTTCATGCAGATAGCAAATAAGGTGACAGAACCATGCAGTTCAGACTACAATCGGGTGTTGTGTGACTGAACATATCTCCTTGGGTTGTGGATTTGCATTTCTTGCATCTGTCTATGCTTTTTTTGTAGTGAAGAAAGTAAGTCATAAATGTATGAATGAAGCTATCTGGAGAGTCTACAATGAAGATAATTGGCTATATGTGAAAAAAACACATACTGTCTTTCCCATGATAGGGAAGCAGAAGCTAATAGAGTTGTGAGAGGTGTCTGTATGCTTTTTATAAATAATTTCAGGTAGCAGACATTATATTACCTTTACTGTCTTGTGTATGGATAGTGTTATTCTGTAATGGCTTGTAGTATATTAAAGGCATTAGAAATTACACATACATTTTTTGATGTTCAAGTCCCCCTTTTCCAGAACCATCCTTGTCTTCAACCTTGATTATTAAGAGAAAGCAGACACACTGTTGTTGACTGCTTTATATTAACATTTTCTGAAGTTTGCAAGGTTATCTTCACTGTCCAGGCATTTTAAGTGGCTATTGGAGTTTAGTATCACAATGATTAGGATTAAAATATATCTGAACAACATCCAGCATACCGATGCACTTAAATGCCAATCCACAATAGTTTCTCAGTTGCGTAAGTTGGAGTTAGTCTAGAACAATGGTTCTCAACCTGTGGGTCGGGACCCCATTTGGGGTCAATCGACCATTTCATGGGGGTCGCCAAGCAAGGCTGTCCGCCATTTTTTTTCTCCGCCATTTTTTTTCTCCGCCATTTTTTTTCTCCGCCATTTTTCCCCCCTTTTCTGGCAGGTACCTTACCTCCCTTGGGCTGGGCCAGCTGGTGGTCAGCCTGCTCCGTCTCTGCCGCTTGCCAGCTATGCCTCGGCCGGCGCAGGGGGCAGAACCACACATGCGTGGCGCTCCCGGGCAGGGAAAGTCCTCGACTTACGACCGGTTGGGTAGTCCTCGACTTACGACTGGTTTAGTCCTCAACTTACAACCAGTTTAGTCCCTGACTTACGACCGGTTTAGTCCTCGACTTACGACCGGTTGGGGTCGCGGCATTAAAAAGGTTGAGAACCACTGGTCTAGAAGGAAATTAACAGTGGATGGAATTCTGTGTGGCTTTTCCTATTTGTCAGCTTTTGCTAAAAGTCACAGATTACTGACAGAGCTTGGAATACTCTCTGGGGCAACTTTCAATCTGTCCCAAGCGGCGATAAATAAAAATAAATGCAAATTGTGCCCCTGGGTAATTACAGGAAGATTAACACTGGAAAAAATATTTTCAAACTCCAACTTTTTCTAAAGATTATTTTTAAAAGTTCAATTTCTATATAGTACTTGCTAATCATTGAGTAGGGCTACAATCCAAAATGGGAAAAAATGAGATCTCAAGTTATTAACTCAGTCACGTTTTAATAATGTCTGCATGAAGACTCTCTTTCACATGTATTAATATTTGTCATATTTGATTTAGTAGTCTTATTTAAATGACAAGTGTTATGTTGTGGCTGTTAACTAACCCTATAATTGCAACTAACATATATGACAATGTAGCAGATGTTTCAATACTAATGTGTTACATCAGGAGAGTAAAAACCTATATATGGGTATTTCCAGTTGTCTGAAATATTCTTGCATTCGCATAAAACCCAAAATAAAATACCCAAAGCAATTAAGAACTTCACAGTTTTAAAAATGGAATTATTTATAAATCTGCCAACATCTAATGGAACATAATAACAAGGGTTAATAAAAGTAAAACAATCGGAGGGATAAAGTCTTCAGTTGGTGAGACATTTGTCTTAATAAGGTTGTAAGACTAAATATTTAATTTAATTATTGTGGCCATATTATTAATATTTAATTAATAATATGGCCACAATAGCATCCCTTTGGCTTGAATCTGTGGAGAAGCTTGATCATGGCAGGCACGAGCATCGATATGAAAAAATGTAAAATGGTTCTATTGTTATAATTTAAATATATAATATTTGGTGTGCATTTTATATTACAAATAATCATCGCTCTTAGCATTTTCAGGATGCAACACTACTTTTTTTTGTTTGCTGAAGTTGCTATATTTTCATGAGTTCAGTATCCTGTGGCAGAACTCTTTATTAGTAATGTTATGATACAAACTATAGAATTTTATGATTTTTTAAAACTTCCAAGATATCTTAAGTTTCTGAGAAGCCAGTTTTGAAGATCTTTTATGCTCATATGCTACTTTAGAAACGTATTCTTTTTAATTGCTCGTCTCCTAAGACAACCATAATAAAAAAAATTCTGATAGTACAGTTGGCTTTTTGTCTAATAAAGCAGGGCTTTTCAACCTTTTCAGATTGTACCACTTTTAGGACATGACAATATTTGAGTACCACCAGTGCTTAGCAAGGTATCAAAAAAAAGGGGGGGATTTTGGTTTACTGATTAGATTCATTTGTTGTTATAGAAATGGCTAGTTTATAATATTATGGAAAAGTAAAAGGTTGAGGTTCGATATTAATGCTTCCTCCTACTGCAACAGAGGAAATGTTTTTTCCCTTCTCTCCCTCACTTTCCCCCCCTTTTTCCTCCCCACTGTGTCCTACTATTTGCTTTTGTATTTTTGTATTTTATTCTATAATCTAATAAAATATTGCCAACTATAGAAAAAAAGGAAAAAAGTACCAGTTTTAATTTCTTCGGTGGCTGTTCCTTTGCTGAATCACTTTCCCTTTGCACTGACAAATGTATGATGAATTTATCCATGTTTTTTAATATGCACCACTACCAGCTAGGTCAGGGGTCTTCAGACTTGGCACTTTTAAGATTTGTGGACTTCAACTACCAGAATTCCTCAGCCATCATGGAGGAAGAAGCCCTTCTTCCTTTCTCCCTTCTGAGCTCTTTCCACAGTGTAGTAAGAATGTACCTTGCCCACAATCCCTTCCCTGTACCCTTAAAGACACAGGAATCAAGTGCAAAACAAGAAAGGCTCACAAAATAAAGAAACACATAAACTCAGGTGTTTTTTTTTTGTTTAAGCTCCCTCAGACATGTCACGTGTCACAATGTTGCAATCCGGCAGTTGTGAAAAGCTTTAGCCTTAAATCAGACATGTCAAACTTGCGACGTCACATGACGTCGCGCAACATATCGTGACGGTTTCACCATTGCTGGCAATGGGGTGGGCGTGGCTTCCGGATGACACGTCCGGCCCGCAGGCCGGCAGTTTGACACCCCTGCCTTAAATTAAGCTTGTTTACCTTCAAAGAAAACTTTCTAAAAGCCATAGACAGACTCAAAATAAGGGGGTAAAACTAATTACATTTGTTTAAAGGGATTAATCCTACAGAAGTCAACACTTTGGACTCATTGCTAGCCTAAAGTACAGACTAAAATGTTCCAATAACCAAAGCACACAAACCAAGCCTCTGAATTACAAAACGCTATAAAAACTGTACAAAAATCCTTATGGTAACCCAATCAAGCTGCCAGCTGATCCAGAACTAAATAAACCTACCTCCTTTCCGACATGCTCATCTGCCGGCTTTTCATTTCATCAGCGCTGATTGCATTCTCCTGGCTGGAGAAAATGAACCAGGGGACCTTTTCTTCCAGCAACAGCTGCTTCTTCTTCCCTGTCCCTGTTTCTTCCCTGCCTGCTGAGCTCTCTTCTTTCCCTGTTGTCTTTTTTTCCCTTTCCCGCCCAAACCACCTCCTTTTATAGCCTCTCCTCTCCCCCCCCCTTTCTTCAGTTCACCTCCAGCTCTGCACTGCTTCCGGAAGCGCCAATCAGCTGGAGCCCTGCCAGCTCCTGGGGCTTCTGCCAAGCCCAGACAGTCCTGCAGCTGCAGCTGCCTCTCCCTCAGGCTTGGGTCACTTCGGCTCATTCCCCTCCCCCACTACACTTCTCTAGTACGGTCATATACCACTTGCCACGTGGCAAAGTACACAGGTGGTACACGTACCACCGGTTGAAAAGCCCTGTAATAAAGAATTATTTAATTGAACACGTGTTCTTTAGATAGTCACAATTTGAGAACATAAGCAAATGCTTCCAGTTTTAGGCTTGTGGTGGAAAAAGGTACTTTAACTTGGAGCTTTTTGGATTCCTTTTTAAGGAACTGAATCAGGCACTGATAAAGCTACGAAATGCTCTTGTTGCATGTTGGAATAAAGCCTACCTAGTTAATTGAAAGTGTGTTGAACAATCTTGAAATTCAATTAAGATCCTAAAACTAATTTTAGATAAACAGTATCAGTCTTTGTTTTTCATTTTGGATTACCATGCATTTTGTTCAGTCAGAGATTGTATTTTTAAATGACTGATTGCACAGTATATAAACTCTTTCTGTTTTCTTTCCTATGCAGGGACGAACTAATTGTCTGACAGATTCAAGAGCTAAGAGTGTCAGTCACACTGATTTGGCCCACTGAGATTCTGGAACAGATGCTAGCTAAAAATGTTCATATGAATTATGAAGCACTGAGATTCACAGGTTTTGGTGGTTCCTGTTAATTTTTTTAGCACTTTCTAGGTTAAAGACATAACAGAATGGACTATTTCTAGGCTCTCTTAAAATAACTGGCATTTTAAAGAATCCTAGAGTTAGCAATTAGCTTCTTTCTGAAGCATGCTCAATTTGTTGCATTGTTACTAGCAATACGGAGTTGTGTTACAGATAGCTGTATAGCAGTATTCATAAACAGAAGAAAATATGCCCACAAAATAGAAAAAGAACTGAAGAATAAAAAAATGCAAAAGCTTTCTTCAACATGCTGTTTTAAAACTGTTACAGGAGCATTCATTATTAACTATGTATGCATTTGCTAGAATGAGGTTTACATTAAGTTCATCGCTGTATGGAATAAGGATTCTGTACACACATTATAGATTACAGATACAGAAATTGTCATGTATCTTATGTCATTCGGGTTTTAAATCAGGAAGACAAGATACTGGTTAATTGGAATGGAAGAACTTTGACATCTCTTGAAAATGACAATAGCCAATTAATTGTAGCTTTCTTCGATCTAAAAATTGATGAAAGTGGTGCAATTTACTTTAACCTGGAAGAGAAAAGCAGAATAGGCTAAAAACCCATCAGGTTTTCAGTCTTTTCATTTTAGTCCCACAGAACACTCCTTTTTTTTCTCAGTCCAGAATTATAAGTACTTAACTGCCTCTTGAATCTGACTTCTATTTCAGTTTGGATTAAGAAAGGGGAAAAATAAGTACTGTACTATGAAGTTGTGGCTTGCAAGAGGGTCTCATAAGAAATTTGTCAGGATAAAAAAAAGCCTAATAGTGCAATTTGTTTCAATCTTCCATTGATTTATTACTCTCTTGGGTGATAAAGGTCTTTCTTCTCAGGGAAGGACAAGTGTTTCATCATTTGATTTTGAAGTCACATTTAATGAAATGTATTTATCTGCTTCCATTTGACAATACTATTATTTGCAAGCAGGAAGTAGGAAATGTGTGCAAGTCATGATTGCATACCACCAAAATTAAATCTCTGCCCAGTAGGAATAACCAAGCTAAATTAATTTTGCTTACTTTTTTGCAGTACAATCAATGTTAATGTGGATTGTAGAGGTTAAAGCTCTAAAAGGAATATATTATAGTTTTATAAAAAATTACATGTAACAAGATTTATGGTGAAACTACATCACTCCAGTGTTTAAATGAAAACACAAATCTGGTTACTGCTGCTGACTATGTCGAGGTTTTGTGAGAACATTGCATATCATTTGTAAATCTGAGTGAATTCAACTTGCAGGTTCACAATGGAGTTGGTTATATTGTTCTTAACCATCTTAGTTAAATTCTAAAATTCTGAACAGACTTTGGAAAGCAAGTACAAAGAACCCAAAAGTTGAACTAAGATACAATGACTCCATTTTTAAATTGTTGTATTTGCATTCCTGTCTGAAAAGACTTTACATTGGTGGTATGTTCTAATAAAATTTCATCTGTTACTCAAAGTGGAGTATAAATATGCCTTATTCAATATATTTTTGAGAATAAGAGCATTAGATAAGGTTTAAAGCTCTTTGAGATGGTTAGGTTATTAAAATACTAGTCTCCCTTATTTTTAACAATTTTTCCAATTTTTGTTTTTTTAAGGAGAAAAAGATGTTTAAATAAAATGTTCTTCCGTATGGAAACATGGTTATGAGTTGCATTGCCCTTCGTGTTTAATGTTTTTTTTCAAATGAATATTCATATTTAGCTTTATATTGTTATAAAATTACCTCTTGCATGCATACAGCTTAAATGAAAGTTGAAAATATTTACTGCCAAAAAGTTGAAGAGGGGCAGCGCTTTAATGCCATCTTGTTTTGACCTTATAACAAACTTTAGTAGTATACTTTGATAAATGAACCACAACAGCCGTCTCTTCATTTGGTGGGACTAAAATTTTGATCTCTCCAGTAGAATTTATGACTATTGTTACCTTATCTCCTCCAGATGAGATGAAATAAATTCTCAGAATTCTCAGGTCATCTAGACTTTCTGGAAATTGTAGGGGAAATCTACTTTTAGAAGAAAAATCTAGGTGTATGTTATGTATTATGAATAAGTGAATGACCTAAAATATTAATATTCTCACATAGGAAATAAATATTTATGGATAATCTGTATGACTGTGCTAAACTTGGTTCTTAGTCACCTGACTATCCTGCCTTGCTTATGGATCTATAGGAAATGAGAGACAATTTACCTCATACTTTTCTTTGAAGCAGTTTACTCAGTACATTTGATTAGGAAAGTGGATATAGACAAACCTATGGCTGGGCCATGCTGTGCGATGGGCAGTTGTAATAAGCTATCACTCTACAGATATACTATTGAGCACATTATGGATATAGTATATCTTATCTTCTGCAATGTTACAAAAGAGTTACCATATATTTCCAGCTCATGATAGAAACAATTCAGCTGTTCACTAATTTAAGTGATTATTGTTGAAAGATAAATCATTTCATTAGAATATTGCATTTGGTGCAGAAATAACTTTTGTTTGTGCATCTGTTGTACCTATTTGAAGAACTGAGTCCTCACCAGCAAAACCTCCTATTATAAACGGTTTTTTCCCCCCTTTCAGAAGTAGCTTAAGCAACAATCTGTGTTGTTTTGTATAAACTCTAAAGCATGATTCCTTCCCTACCAAGTAGGCTTCTTCATAATAAATGATTTAATCCTATCTTAGAAATTTATCTGTGGAAACAACAGGGCCATCCAATTAAGTCCACATCTGTCTGAATCCCTTTTAGACCTCATAACTGCAATCTGAAAAATAAGTTTGAGGAGTCCAAATGAAACAAAGGGAAGGCAGTCATGTGGATTCTGCCTGTTGGGAAGATTGTCATTTATCACAACTCTGGGGGTTTTAACTAAAACAGCAGTGAATTGAAAGCTCAGTGGCAATATTAATCTATGTGACATCTGCACATTTAAATATATTGGCAGCAGCATTATTCAGTTAATTTTTTTCTTTAATTTTAAAATAGTATAAGTGATGGTGATAATCTAAATTGCCCATCACATTATATACTTTCTTAGACAGTACTGTTAATTAGTACCCAAGTCACAATTTTATTTGTCTTATAAAATAAATAAGTTGCAATATTAAATATAATTTACTTAAGCTACACCTTGAATAGATGTTCCTATATCCATTTAGAATGCTCAAGAATACAGTTAGCCCCAATACAAGTCTTTGAAAGAAACATTGGGGTTGGACTAGAAGACCTCCAAGGTCCTTTCCAACTCTGCTATTCTGTTAACATAGTGATCTAGGACGCTTGCCTTGATTCAGTAGTTATTTATATATTTATATATGAAAAATTGGCATTAGTAGTATCTGGTTTCAAGAAAATGCTTCATGCAAAACAATTCAGATAATGTTTACTACAGATATCCCTCTTGGCAAGCAGGAATGCTTTTTAGATTTAACATGTTAAATCAGCTAGCTAAAAGACGTTTTGTGTTAAACTAGTAATTCCACTGATTATGGAAAATTAAGTATTTTTATTATATATATTTCTGAAAACAGATTGTGTAGTGTTTTACTGAATTTGTTTACAATGTTGAAATACACAAATTTGTTAACAAGGTCAATTTTCCCACTGAATCTGCTACTATGAAATCTGCTGAAGTACAAAATACATACTTGTAACATAAATTCATGTAAAAAATATTTTACCAGAACATGTTTATATTTTGCTGAAGTTATGAATACTCCCTTTTAAAAATATGAAACTTTATTTCATTATTGTATATCTCTAAATCAGAAAAAAATGTTATTTTCAAAGCACATTACTGTAGTTCTTAATTTGTAATATCAATGTGTAGTTCTATGGCTTCAAATAGTAAATTAAATAGTTTTTGTACCCTGTATGTATGACTTACCCCAAAACTGGATGTAACTAATGGCATTTCATCTGTGTACTTTATGTATGGCAGCACTGATGGGTCTATTGTGTAATGGCAGGATATTCAGCTAAACTGCTGAAATGGAGTAATTCATGTACCCTTTCGAAAATCACTTCAGAGCACTTGAGGATACCATAATCAGAGAAAAATCAACAAAGTAGCAGTTTAAAAAAGGAAATAAATGGTACAGGTAGTCAACAACAGTTCATTTAGTGACCGTTCAAAGTTACAGCACTGGTTTTCACACAACCGTGACAGCATCCCCATGGTCATGTGATCAAAATTCAGATTCTTGGCAACTGACTCCTATTTATGACGGTGGTAGTGTCCCAGGGTCATGTGATTACCTTTTCTGACCTTCTGACAAGCAAAGCAATGGGGAAGCCAGATTCATTTAATAACCGTGTTACTAACAATGGCAGTGATTTGCTTAACTGTGGCAGGAAAGGTCGTTAAATGGGACAACATTCACATAACAACCATCTCGCTTAGAACAGAAATTTTGGGCTCCATTGTGATTATAAGTTGAGGACTACCTGTAGTTCTAAATAGTATAGTTTTAACACTGGAAAATATTAAAATGGAAACAGGCTAAATCAATCTTTAAGATTTGATTCTCCATATTTTATTTTTAAAAATTGCATTTACTCTTTAAAACAGAACTGTTCTAATGGGAATTTTATTCTTACAGGAAGAAATAATGTACGATCAATTTATCTGAAAAACTAAAAAAAATGGCTCTTTTAAAAGTCACAAAGTCTGGTTTTTTAATTGGAAAAGCATATTTTCAATTTGCCACAGCAATTTCCCTAATCTATTTTTGATTCTTAAATGAATGTTAAATTAGAGCAAAAGTATTTGCTTTAGGCTGTTCTAATGAAGCAGATTTTCTTCAAAAGTGTATAGCATGGTATCTTTTCTTTTTTATTTTGTTTTAATGTTACAGAATTGTAAAGTATTTGTTTAATTTTTAAAGCTTTCTTGTTACTCTCCAAGTGTAAAAATAAAGTATCAAACAGAGCTACATAAATGTGATTTCTTTATTAAAGGGGTGGAAATGTTCTGTGTATGAAATGTTTAGTTAACACTGATTGTTTAGCAACCATTGGAAGTTCCAACAGATCGAAGGGGGGGGGAGTACTTCAATCCAAATTTAAAGTTCCAAAAGTACGTGCTCCCCCCACAGCCACACGAGTGCAATTTGGGCACTCAGAAACCAGGTCACTGTTACAGCCATTTGCAATGTCCTGTGGTCACATGAACACGTTTTACAAAATTTTGCTAAAGAGCAGCATTTACTTCTGGGTTTTGACAAAACCATACCTGTAGTGAACCAGTGGTTCACTTAACAATCACTGCATTTACTTAACCACCACCACAACAAAGGGATTGCTTAAAGTGGAGATTCGCTTTATGGCCATCACGAGTTATAACATAGCAACCAGCTATGAATTCTGGGAGTTGACGTCCAAACATCTTAAAACATTGTCTTAGAAAATAACTACAGTATGTTCACAGAATATTGTCTCCTTGTTCTCTCAAACCATCGTTTTTGTAATTCTACCCCATTACCTCATAGAATTTACCTCACTATTGTATATACATGATATGCTGCTATATCCAATCCATTATTTTGCAAAATTCTCTACAGAGGACTGCATCCCCAACTTCTGCATACCTAAAAAACAACTTGTGCTTCAAGATTATTGTGTACTGCTCCATATTTCAAATGAACCTTTGGGAAATTTATGTAAGAAATTAATCCCACAAATGTACAATCTTTAGTAATGCCTGTTTCTCCTTTTCCTTAAAAATGTAGCTTTAAAATGGGAGAGGGTGGTATTGTCTTAAATACCCTGAAGAATATTGCATTGGAGACAAGAACATGTTTTTGTTTAAACTGAACTTTTTATTTTATTCAGGCCACCATTCTCTGAAATTATTAAGGTATTTCTAGTAAGCTAGAAACTTAAGACAACATGATGAGACACAAAATTAAATATTTCCAGGAAAACAATCGAGCCAAAGTCAAGTGTATTTTATTACTTTGGAAAATTTCTAAACATATACTCAACTTTTAATAAGACTGTAAAGTAAGTAAACATAGTTTATATTAGGAAAGCTAAATGATTGCATTATAAACTTAAATAACATCTTCATCTTTAGTTATTTAACCAATCATCTAAATTTTTGTGGTAAAATAATCAAGAGTTCTGCAGTCTAAAATGAAGTCTAATAAAAGTTGTATCACTTAATTCTTCCAGTCACGATATTGGGTGGAGATTCCCCACCAGATATTGCCCAGACATTTCTGACATAATTAAAACTTTAAAAAGATTCAGTGTAAATGAAAATTTAAGATTCTCCATTGCTGCTGCGGTACTCAACATTTGTCTGTTCACCGTATGTTAAAATGTTATTACTATCATCTATTTCAGTATTTACACTGCTTTTTGATAATCATTTTTATTGTAAAACCATGATTTAAAGTACATGCAAATTGCTATATGGTATTAATAAAAACTTAAAAGCTTTAAGTTAAACAAAAGCTTAATTAATAGTTATAGATTATTAGAAAAGAAAAAAGTCTTGTATATTCCTACAGAGAAAATTTATTGGCAGGGCAAATACTTCATTCAGACAAGAAAGAGTCCAGGATTTTCTATCTTTGAATAAACTGTGGCCACAAGAAGCTGCTATGTTTTAATAATTTCACAATTTACTGGAAAGTATGCAATATACTAATCAAACACTGCGATCTGAAGATGTTTTAATGAATAGGATCAACTCTAGACAAAATATTATTTGAACAGGACTTCCACTGATAATGGAAATTTTTGTTTAAATACAGTATAATAAAAGATTTCTAGACAAATCTTTTACAAAGTGAAGGAAAATTTCCATATTCTCCATTTAACCATCCATAAATTGCATTGAGAAGATTCTTCAGGCAACTGCAGAAATTAATTATAGCATTAGGAAAAACATTTCCCAAAATATGATGCTGGAGAAAGTGTATAACCAACTTAAGTATATAGGCACAATACTTGACAATGATATGGGAATAAGTGAAGTTTAATCAGCAGAGTATCTCATGAAATCCAGCGGGGGGGGGGGGATAAATATTTCAAGTCCTTCTAATGAAATAGTGTCATCTATCAGGATTTAGAAAGTTTACAAAATTGGCCCTATAGAATTACATTGCCACGAGATTTGGATTATCCCAACTTGGTTGGCTTTCCAAAAGACCTTGACAAGTTGTTTTTCTCCCAAGCACTGAGCCAATGCTGGATAAGCTCATTCTGAAATGACTTTTAATTGGAGTCAGTTGGGATTTGGCCTTAATTAATCTCTACTGTGAAGGATTTTTTAAAATGTTTTTAGCCATGTATAAGCTGCCCAGAATTGCAAGTTGGGCAGCCACACAAATCATTTAAATAAATAGTAAATAAATATGGACATTTAAGTCTTATTATCTTTTCCCCCTAAGATAGGGGACATGAGGACTTAATCTAGTAAATTTCATCTCATGGGGTTCTTGTGTATTTTTATATTGTTTATTTTTAGAAATTTAAAAAAACAAATTATTTTTTCCTGTGTAGGGACTGCAGTGGAAGTTATATATATTTACATTTAGTGCACAGGAAGAATATAAATATTTCTTCATAAATTAAAAGAAAACAGCAAAAAAATTAAAAAGACATTTTCAGCTTTGTCAGCTTAAAGGTAAACATGGGACCCAACTAAATCTCCCCAGGAAAAGAATTCCCTAGCCAGGTAAGTAAATTGCATCACACCATTAATAGTCTACCCTGACTTTAAAAGAGTGCAGCATGTTTAAATGGATCTCGTAACTTATTATTTCAGCCTAAGCACTGTCAGTGCAGCACGTTAGTCCTGTTGAATACATGTAATTGCTGACAGAGAATTTCCTTTCTAGAAATGCAGCTTAACCTTCAAAGGTTTTTCAGTTCAAAATTATTTTATCAGATGTTTGTTACATATGTTTTATATTGCTAAAGGGAATTCTTTTATAAACTGAGGTTTTCTGTTTTTTGTAATTTAAATGAGTTCAAGTTATTGTTTGCTATCATTCTGAGAGCACAATCCAGATCAAATAATACTTTGCTGAGCAGACAGGATAATGCAATAGATAAATAGGATGATGCAACAGCAGGAACAGACTGAGGATTTTTAATATATTAGCTCCATTTTATACTGAAATAATGGTAAAAAAAACCCTGTTTTACGTTTTTTCATAATCATGACTGGTTTTCCTTATTCCTTTTACACCTTCCAAATTTACAGTATAATAGCAAAAACGCTGGGGCAAATGAGGAGCAAAAATAATTCTTAACATTCGTAGCTCACTTCTACCATACAATGTTTCTCCACTAGTCAGTGCTTGGTTTACAGTGCGACACACCATCAATCTCATCAACAGCTGATTAGACCAAGTTATTCCCAGTGCTGGAACAACAGTTCTGGCTGAGCAGCTGAAACACAAAGCCTGTAATTACAAAATATTCTAGCAATTTGAGCTAGGGGAAGCAAGCTTGTTTTTTAGATTGGTTTCTTGGGCTAGCTACTAGGCTCATAGAAAACCTGCAGCAGTTTTATTGCATTTGCAATAAAAGAAATCTTACTAAACACAGAGGAAATAAATAGCATTCATTTAACTATTGCATTTAAATTCCATTGTTAAATCTATTTTTTGTTGTTCCAGAAGTGTGCAGCCCCCCCCGCCAAATAATTTCCTGGGACAGATGAATTAATGATATGGTTTGATCTAAGGTAATTTTGCTGAGCTCTTTAAAGATTAATGCACTAGTTTATTTCATGTTTATAAGAGAGATCTGTCCTAGCAAATGTTATACCAGTGGTTCTCAACCTGTGGGTCGGGACCCCATTTGGGGTCGATCGACCATTTCATGGGGGTCGCCAAGCAAGGCTGTCCGCCATTTGTTTTGTCCGCCATTTTTTTCCCCTTTTCCGGCGGGTGCCTTACCTCCCTTGGGCTGGGCCAGCTGGTGGTCGGCCTGCTACGCCTCGGCCGGCAGAACCACGCATGCGCGGCGCTCCCGGGCAGGGAAAGTCCTTGACTTACGACCGGTTGGGTAGTCCTTGACTTACGACCGGTTTAGTCCTCGACTTACGACCGGTTTAGTCCTCGACTTACGACCGGTTTAGTCCTCGACTTACGACCGGTTGGGGTCGCGGCATTAAAAAGGTTGAGAACCACTGTGTTATACCATATTAGATGCTTCAGAATCACATTAAGGTAGAATGTATTCCATTGCATCATATTAATCAGTGAACACATGCTATCTGTTGAAAACTTATTTTAACTAAGAAGAAAGTTCTGTTGGGTAGAGGTGTAGTTGGTCACAGCCTCACTCTTCACAGTTACTGTTTCAATGAAACAGAATCCATCTAAAATCAGGTGTTTTCACCTTGTGTTTGGGGCTAGCCATAGAATCCAATAGCAGTTCTTCCTTACATCATTCCAGCTCAAAATAAGTTATTCTAGGTAGGGTTAGAAGAACCTAGTATCAGCATAAATACAGTACCGCACACATACATCATATATGAGATATGTGTTTAGATTCACTTTGTGTGTATGTATGTGCGCATGCTGTGCATACATGTGTTTGCTGAATTTCTTTTTCCACTCACCTTTGAGTATTCCAAACAGCATTTTCCTTCTCATTCATTGCATCAGTTACCTAGATTACAAAAAAGGAATCAAGAAAAATGCACATTCAATACTTTGTCAGAATATAGTAATAGGAAAGAAATGATTTTACATCAAATAAAATACTTTGGCTAGACCAGAGTTAATTAGCCAACCCTAATTCTGGTGATCCACAGGAACAATAGCATTTACTTGGAAAAATTCCATTGTTAACTATTACTTTCATTTAAGTGTTTAAATCAAGGTCCAGTTAAATATTAAAAACCAGTTAGATGCACATAGCTCTCCTGAAATTAGTGGGATGTTGCTTAGGCTAAGCAAACTCTACTATCTTACCTGATTAATGCATACGATGGGGGTATGGAACCTGCAGCTTAATCTATGAAGTTTTGCCCCAAATCTGTGTAAATATTTAGCTTTCAGGAGAGAATCTGTAGCACTGAATTCACATCTGAATAAGGCAGCAATGGAGTCAATAATGACTAGCCGCACCATGCCTCTTGAGAGCAGCAAGCTAAGTCTCTTAGTAATGCACTCATGGAAAGTGTCCTGTAATAAGAAGGAAATACAGCAGGATGTCTATCAAGAACAGCACCGTTTAAAAAAACTGTGCTCCAGTGGATGCACAGTTATTATTGCAATAGCTAGAGTAATCCTTATTCCAAGCTTTTGTATTTGTTTGCAATGTCAGCAAACAGAAAACTGTATATTCAATCAAGTAGTTTTACTGAGTCAGGAAGCTGAGTGAGAATTAACAGCAATGTTGCAAATCTATGCACATTATCTTGAGATTAAGTCCCAATTAACCCTTCTGAATATATAATAGGATTACATTAAGATTTTTACAACAGGGTTATTGGTCCTTATTCTAAAACAATCTCTTGCTAGAATATCCTTTTTCTACGCTTGGAAATACGATTATTCAAAGCTTCTTTCTGCCAAAGTGGGCTAGCATTTTCTAACCAGTGATATCTTTCCAGGGTTTCACAGTCCCCTGGACACAGGTCCTGCCTAATGTTCCCATCAGCAATGAAATAAATACTAAAGGATTAACTGTGGCCAGCACAAATTGATTGAACTCTTCAAAAAAAATTACCCCACTCCAAGCTGAAATATATCCTACTAACTGCATAGCTCTGCTGCATTATTACTGGTGCAATCCATAAGCCATTTGTAAGGCGGTATAGAATTAATATGTTTTCCTCTGCACAATTTTTATTGTATGTTCCTGATGAAACATCATACTGGGAAGTAGCGAAGTATAGCTGACACACATTCCAGTGAAAAACAAAATGCAGGAGAAATGCACTGGAAAGCAAGTTCTTGTCAATAATTTATTCATTTTCCCTTCTGGCTACTGTTCTAGTAAGCTGAAACAACCTCCATCCCCAATGACCCATTCCTTATTAATATTTAGGAATGTGGCTAAAATGGAGTTACTCGAAAGCACTTTTAATGTTTACATGTTGTCATTGGGAGATGCTATGTCAATATCATCCTGGATACATTATCCTGTAATTTTTATTCTATACTTTATTATCTGTTTTTATGCTGTAGTGTACACTGCCAGGAATCTATATGGAGTATCAATACATAAAATAAATATGGAGGAGTGATCAAAAAGGGGGTTTAAAAAAGGTGCATTTACAAAGGCTGACGCGTAGTTATGAAAGCTTTAGGAAACACTCAGGAAAAAATACTGTTTACTGACCTTGTATTTGTGGTAAACGCCTAACTTTTTTTTAAAATGTCTTTTTCATTTCTCTCCAACTTTTTAGCAGCATTTAGGAGGCACTTGTATTTTCTTCTGTTTAACAAACTAATGTGTTCCATGTGTGCATATTTTTTCACCAAGACTAATCAGAATATGTACAACTGCACTGCCCATCTGTTTGTGTCAGATATCTAATTAGGATAGATACATGGGCGTTGCTTTTGGATATAAATTTCTGTTCTTCCTTCATACTATATGTTTGACTTTCAATATTTGTGTGCATCAAAGAGCTCAGGCCAGGCAACAAGCATCCTGCCCTGGGTTACGTGATCAAGAAAAAAGGGAGGGGCTTAGAATAGAGGAGTGGTGGCATACTGAACCATTAGCCATCTGCCCCTCCCAAATGGATGCATTGGGGGGGGGAGTTCTTTGCAGCCCCTGGCTATTTTCTAAATCAATATTTTTTAATTTCTTTTTTTCAGCTTCTCCCACCACATTAAATATGGTTATATTATGTTCTGTTTAAGAGAATTATTCTGCTGACAGACAGATAGCCATCATTTTGAGCCCTTTTAGGAAATGACTTTCTAATCTGCCATTGGGTTGGAAAGAACAGAAGGAAAACATTTGGCGTACATTTTTCTCTTGGGCATTCCACTTTTGTTTTCCTTTCCTTAAAAAAAATTAAAAATAATGTTAAGCAAAAGGTATCCTGCGGAATTCCAGTGTATTTTCTCACAAAGGCAACACTGAATATGCCAGAGGAAAAGCAAGCAAATGATTAAGCCAGATCAATTTCTCTTTAAAAACGGTATAATGCAATGCCTAGTTGGAAAGATTTTCTATGCCTGCAGCATAATAACCAAATGCCAATCAATTCCCCTCTCTGCCAATTTTGAACCAGCAAATGAAGTCTCCTTTGTGCTTGATTCCCTTTCTAGTTGAATTTGTCCTCATTGAGGGCAGTGATGCCACACCTTTGTCTCCAGACTACAAGTTTGTGGATGCCTGCAGACTGGTTTGATCACAGTCTCTGAGCTTGACTGCTGTCCACCATTTAATGGATAAACTATTCTAACATCAGAGGTATGCTGGAGAAAAAAATGTAAATTAACATTTAATCAGTGAGGCAGACTGTATCTTGCATTCTATGCCCCAAATTTAAATACAAGACAATAATATCATTTAAGACTATATATCAGTGGTGGCGAACCTATGGCACGCGTGCCAGAGGCGGCACTCAGAGCCCTCTCTGTGGGCACACGTGCTGTTGCCCAGGCTTGCCTCCTCCTGTAACCCCCTCCTCACCAGCAGCCTCTCTGGAGGAGAATCGCCCCCGAGCGTGGCCCACACGAAGCAGCGCAGCCAAGGACATGGCAGCCAGGCAGCGTAGACAAGACTCTGCCCTCACGCCCCATCACTCACAGTTGATGCTGTGGGGCGCAGGCAGAGGGCGTGGCCTCAATGGTGCTGCTGGGCTGCCTGGGTGATCTGTGGCAGGCCCTGGAGGCGGTGAGGCCCTGCGGTCAGGCAGGGTGGGAGCGGGGCAGGGGGTGGAGCAGGGGAGGGGCCAGTTTTTGGGCACTCGGTCTCTAAAAGGTTCGCCATCACTGCTATATATATATATTTATAAAAATAGGCAGCCAATGATTACGTGACTTGGGATTTATTATTGATGGATTAAAATCTGCTTTTATTCACAGTGATTTTTTTTAGTTTTCTATAGATAGCAAGATGGTTGTGCAGGAAACCCGAAACAAGTTTTTTTTTTTTTACAAATCTTTATAATTCAGTTGACTTAGTGCCAAAAAAGTAAGCACATAACTGCACTACTTTAGCTTCTGAGAGTCCTTCAACTTAGCCAGCATAGTTTCACAGCTGTGAAAACAAAAAGCTTACCTTTTTATTAAAAAATAGAAGAAAAACGAACACTCATTTTTCAGAAGTTCTATACTGCTTTTTACAGTATTGAAGTTCAAACCTGACTGCTGAATGTGTTCTATAAGTTAAGGTGTTTTTAATGACACCATTTTAAATGTTTTGCATAGTTTAATTAATGGATGTTCTATATGTGTTGTTTGCAGCCTTTTAGTTTCATACTGAGAAAATTTGCATAGATTGAATTTAACATTTTGAAGCATTAACAGCCAGATAAAATACTCACCAAGTCTGCTGCATGTTCAACAAATATTCTGTTTCCAAATGTTATCTTCTGCATCACCTCAGATGGAACATCACTCCTCAATATGGGCAGCTGTTCAATCAATTGCTGCAGACGTTTATTAGGAAAAACATCTTCTGTGCAAATGTAAACTGCACCTGTAATGGAGGCCAAGCCATCTGAAATTACTGTTTTCTCTTTGTGGCAATTGGCTGGAACACACACACACACACACACACACACACACACACACACACACACGTGCTGGGAAGGGATAATTCCTGTTTTTTAAAAAATTACTTTATATGGCTACCCATTTTATAACTGCAACTGTGGGTGGCTAACAAAATAAAAATTCAGTAAAAGCAAAGTAATACTAATAGCAAAATCCAGTATAAATAGATATACAGAATGTTTGTTGAGGACAACAACATGCAATATAGTGAAAACCATCTCACACACTTCCTTAATCTCATGACTCCAATGCCCAGGAAAACAGTCATATTTTTAAAGTTATCTGAAATACCAGCAGTGTCTTGCTGGATCCTGGGAATTATGGTGTTCCAGACGGCAGGCGCTGCAACTGAAAATGCCCATTTCCAAAGCTGCAGTGGATATTAGTACAGATATTCATCAACTTCAACAGTTCATTTAGTGACTACTTGAAGTTACAGCGGCATTGAAAAAAGTCACTTATGACTGTTTTTCACACAACCATTGCAGCAGCATCCCCGTGGTCATGTGATCAAAATTCAGACACTAGGCAACTGACTCATGACAGTTTCAGTGTCCTGGGATCATGTGATCACCTTTTGCGACCTTATGACAAGCAAAGTCAATGGGGAAGCCAGATTCACTTAACAACTGTGTTACTAACTGAACAACTGCAATGATTCACTTAACAACTGTAGCAAGAAAAGTCATAAAATGGGGCAAAAATCACTTAATATCTCATTTAGCAATAGAAATTTTGAGCTCAATTGTGGTTGTAAGTTGAGGACTACCTGTACAGAAAGACCTGAGCTCATAAGCAGAGCCATACTTGCAAATAAAATGTTTGATTCAACTCCAGCAACCATAAATAATAATTTAGGTGATGGCAGTATAAGCATTACACAGTATTTCATCTTCTCCGAGTGCACAAAGCAAATTCCTACAGTGAAAAATGTGATTTGATTTCAGTAGCTGTTGAATGTAATTGTCCTTACATTTTTGAAGAAACCAAATTACAGGCTCTCATACATATACTTTGGAACTAAATAAGAGAAAATTCATTACATCCTTTTAAGCTTTTAAAAACTAAACTCCTAGTCCCTATAGATAGAGATACATAAATATGCTTGAAAGTATGTATGTGAACAGTGCCTACTGAAATCTTCAAAACAATGAAATCACCAGTCGTTGATTTATTGACTAGAAGATTTTTAATGTTTGGAGTTGAAACTTTAGCAAGGAGTAAACTATCTAGCTGTGTCACTGTTTTTTCCAAAAATAAACAAAATTATAATATAATATAGGAGTCTGGTGGCGCAGTGGTTAAAGTGTAGAATTGCAGGCAATCTCTGCCCATAGCCTGGAGTTTGATCCTGATGGAGCTCAAGGATGACTCAGCCTTTCATCCTTCTGAGGTTGGTAAAATGAAGACCCAGATTGTTGACGGCAATATGCAAATACTGCTTACATTGTACACTGCCCAGAGAGTGCTGTAAAGCACTACAGGGCATTATATAGGTCTAAATGCTAGTAATCATAATGCAATAATATGCAGGGAGTGAAGAATTCTGCTCAAAATATCATGGTTCTGATAGATGAGACCAAGTAAAGCAGAACTCCAAGGCTTGAGTTTTCCTCTAAGAACATGTTTATTGGTTACAAAGTATCGGCACAGTCAAAATTAAAACCGAGACTAAAATTCCCTCCAAAAAGTAACAGTATTACAAAGTTAAACTTCCCACCCCATAAACTATGCAATCAATTCCACTTCCCAATAAAATTGTTTGGTGGGCTTTTTAACATTAGGCTCAACCCCCAGTCTCACGAATAGAAATGACCTTGGTTCCCACGGGACAGAGAATTGTTTAGACTAGCATAAAACTCCCCATCTCTCTTCCCAATCTTGTGGCAACCGAAAAGGAGCAAAATAGCTTCAGCCAGGTTCGTTGCAGAGTTGACAAAGAGATTAAAAGAGTATATTTCTTACCAGATTCTAGTCCACCATATCTGTATGGATACTGCACAGAAAGACATAGCTGCAAAGCAATCTGAGTCTTCCCAGCAGAACTTTCACCAGCAATTTCAGTAATTCCTGTATGGGGAATTCCACCTTGGAGCAAGCCATCTAGAACTGGGCAGCCCAGACTCAGCTTCTGGCTTTGGGAAGTGCTCGGGGCTTTGTTTTGAAATAGCTGGAGTGCTAAAACAATTTGACAAGAGGTTTACTTAATGTCACTTGTATGCCACTTTCAATGTAATTATCCTGAAATGGTTCACAAAATAAAGATACGGAGGCTCTTAATCACAGCTGATTCAGAAATCCTCAGCAAGCATTCAGTTAAGACATCCAGCAAAAGCACAATGTTCTATTTCGGCAGCAGGAAAAGAATATAAGGTGGAAAGAGAAAGGGAATAAAAGAGATTATCAATATTTTTTTTTAAAAAAGGTGCCGTTACCATTTTATGACATAAACACATCAAATGTTGTAGCATTTTAAAGGGTTCAATTAGATTTTAACAGAAGTCTGGAAGATCAAATCCCACTATATATTCAATTTATAGGTTTATAGTAGTCTAATATTTTTTTAAATTGATTGTTTAGAAAAAAGCTAATTGAAGACTTACCTGTAAAAACAGAATTTTTTCTCAAAGTACTAGAAATTGTTCTTAGTAGATATTGTACATCTGTCTTGGATAGCTTTGTTAACCTTTGCAAATCTGATCCCGAAAGATGGAAAATGTCTTTAATTGATGTTATATTTGCTGAAATAAGAAAATTGATTCTATAACCTACATAGACTTATTTGAAAAGTGGAAATATTACAGCGCATAGGCCAGTTATTATTTTATCTCTTGCTCTGGAATCCTTTAAGTACAGTATGTTCCATTCAACACAATGCAATTTACTTTTAAATAGACAAGAACAGCATGGCAGCATAAATACAGAGGTTTGTTTTTATGCAAGCACTTTTTTCTAAAGCAAAACTGTGAAACTATAATTGTTCACTGTTGCTCAACTATTCAGAACATCCCTTATCACTGGCATTCATTCATTTATATTTCACATTTCTAAACAGCAGTTTAGAAATGGTAACTGGTAACTAGTTTAGCAATGAGAGCAAGGCTAAAAATTTCCCATCAATTATCAGCTATAGACACATTCACAGATATTTATTCAGAAGTGAGTCCAACATGGCTTGTTCTTAAAAATTTCAGATTGCAACCTTAGCTTCTTTTCAGATCTGGATATACCTAACCTCATCACAATCAGCATTTACCTACTTGCAATCGTAGTCTGTACAAATCCCTAGTCAAATGCAGCAAGACAAAGTTTTCTTACACAATCAATATATAAAAATGATAGAGGGATGGCATATAACATGAAAACAAGGATTTGTAGACAGTTAATGTACCTTTTTTAATAGCTGCAATCACTCTAGGGTTCATGTCAAACTTATCCCAGTCCATTTCTTCACAAATGCAGAGCCAAGCATAGAGGAAGAAAACTGAGTAAGATATAGCTTTAGAAAGATACTAACAGAAAGACTTGAAATAGTTTTTCACATCATCCTTGCTCCCTGGTCTCAGTATTATTTTTCCAATTTTTCTTTAATGCTTTTATATTACTAGTGTTATATACTGATTTGCAATTGCTAGGCTCCTTAGCTTGTTTTAGTTACTTTCAGGTTATGTAGCATGTGAAAAATATCAGGGGTGAAGAATGGTTCACACGTAATCTGCATGAGACAATGGTACTTAGGTGGAAAAATATAAGGATATGAGATTGGCCAAAACATGTTGAAGGTTGTGAAAGTGGATGCAAGTGCTATTTTTACAATCATCACACAGAATAAGGTACCATGAATAAGGGACTTCCTTACTCTATTCTTCTGGAACTCAAACAGCCTAACCCCATGGTGGCCAACCTATGGCACGCGTGTCACAGGTGGCACGCAGAGCCCTCTCTGTGGGCACACGCGTCGTCACCCCAGTGCTAGGCCTTCAGCTGGGTTTTATAAAACCTTTTTGCTCTAGGCCTCTGCTGCTGTGTGCAAAAAAAAAGAAGGTGCAATCAATCAATCAATTTCAACTTCTCGTAGGAAAAAAAAGATCTTGCAAAGTTGGAATTGATTGATCGAACTTTTTAATCTCACCCAGTCTACGGTTACCACCGCGGCCATGCCCACCCAATGGGCCACGCCCACCCGGCATCTGACAATACATAAATGGGTTTTGGGTTGCAGTTTGGGCACTCAGTCTTTAAAAGGTTCACCATCACTGGCCTAGCCTATTAGACATTGAGTAGGACATGTGTGGAAAGAATATGAATGAAGCTCTTCTGAAAGTGAACAAAATATTATGACAGTTGAATGAAAAATAAAGCTTCCACCTCTATAGGTTAAAGTAAAGAAATTTTAATAAATGAAAAAAATAATTATTGAAATGAACTCTTTTGTTACCTATATTTACTTCTTCATAGGATCTTTATTTGCTATATAGTTCCAGTCGAACACATTTGTGATTATAGATTATAGATTCAAAATTGCACACTAGCTAGAAAACTGGCAGTCGGACAAAAGTCACCCAACTCAAACTCCATCGAGAGAAAACTAGCAAGCAAGAGTTACTTTTAAATTATTCCCTACCTTCAATGAACGATCCCAGCCTTCGAAAAGAGAAAGGCGCTAACAAGAATCAGCCTAAACCGCGGAAAGCGTGGGCCAATCACAAAAAGCTGGAAAGAATTATTAACCAATCAGATGCCCCGCTCGTCATCGAGAACACAGCTTTTCTCCACTTCGCTGTCAATGTAAAGGGCGCATGCGGCATTATAACGCTAGTCTCTGCGCGCACGCGTGCGAGACTCCTCTCTCTCTCTTTCTTCCCTCCCCTTTTCACTTTCCTATTTGCCTTGAAGGGGATTGGTTGAGAAGAGTATATATCAATGGGGAGGGGAGGTCGGCCCACTATTGTAACGTTGAAAACAACAGCTCTGCCCCCCCCCAAAGAGAAACGTTTCTCAACTTTCATTGGTCAGGAGAGACGTCTACCTTTAGTGAACCTGATGGCGATTGGATGGCTGCGGCGGGGCAGTGGCTTCGGATTGGGTGGTTGGGGTGGATCGACGATTTGGGCGCGTCGCCGTGTGGCGGCGGCGGCGGCTGTGGTGCGAGCTCTGAAGAAGTGAAAATGTCGGGCCGCGAGGCCCCTGACGGCAAGAAGTTGATTCGCTCCCCTAGTGGGCTCCGAATGGTCCCCGAAAGCCGGGCTACGCAGAGCCCGTTCGGACTGGAAGAGCCGCCGTGGGTGCCGGATAAGGAGGTAACGGTGGTAGGGCTGCTCAGCTCTGGACCCTATTCAGTATATCTCCTCCCTCCTTTCAGGCTGTGCCGCCCTCCGCCAGAGCCTGTTCCCATCAGTCCCTGTTCGTCAGGAGACGGTTGGATCGTGGAAAAACCTTCGCGGAACTTCAGTTGTGCTCTACGCCTCACCTCCCATTTTTTTACCTTCGGGTCTTTCCCCCCTTTTGGGAGCTTCCCACCCCCCCCGGGGGATGAAAGTCCTGCTGCGTCGCTCAAAGCTCGCCCTTCAGGCTTATTGGGCCGAGTCTCTGAACGTCCTGCCTTAAAATCACCCTCCAAGCCAGGGGTAGTCAACCTTGGCTCTTTTATGACTCGTGGACTTCAACTCCCAGAATTCCTGAGCCAGCTTAGCTGGCTCAGGAATTCTGGGAGTTGAAGTCCACGAGTCATAAAAGAGCCAAGGTTGACCACCCCTGCTCCAAGCAGAACATCAGAACCGTGTGCTAAAAACGGGGCTAGAACTTGATGTGCTGTTCTTCTGCTCGCCAGCAGGGGGGTGTCTGAGTAGCAAACAATAGTGGCTTGATTGGGGGGGGGTCCTGGTTGCTGCAATATTGGGAGCTACCCAAAGTTGGTTGCAACACGAGCGGCTATATAAATGCTTTAAAGCAGTGTTTCTCAACCTTGACAATTTTAAGGCATGTGGACTTCAACTCCCAGAATTCCACAGCCAGCATTGCTGGCTGTGGAATTCTGGGAGTTGAAGTCCACGTGCCTTAAAATTGTCAAGGTTGAGAAACACTGCTTTAAAGAAATAAAATAGTGAAGTTCTCTATTTGAAACAATGATAAGGTTTACTTTCAACAGCGGGTGATGGGCTAAGTATATGTTTCGTGGAAGAAATTAGTTTGGGTGAGGGATTTGAAGGGAGAAGTAGTCTGCTCATTGATGGAATTCCCATTCGTGGAAATAGTAAGGAAACTGAGCACATAGCTAAAGAGACCTAGAAAACAAATCATGGCTTGGAAAGAAAAGCTGAAGTGAATGTAGAAGCTGCAGGATCTTAAGCAGAAGTGACAGAAGAACAGTCAGTGTTTCAGACTTATTACTGAAACAAGAAAGGTGCAAATGTACTCAGTAGAGCAGTGGTTTTACAACATACTATACACACCAAGAATTGACAACTGATATATAATAAATCATTCTTTGCAAATGTTAGGTTGAAAAAAAACCCCAAGTGCTTAACTAAATGTGTTGTGCATATTTTATCAAATACTGGGAAATCACGAATTACCAAAGTTTCAATAACATTGCAAACAATATCACTTCTAGGATGCTTGTTAAATGATGTCAGAAATAGATAATATTTGTATAGCAAGTAGGTTGAAGCTTGTTGGAGCTTAGAATGTTATCCAAGAACAATAGGATAAAGTACATTTCACAGCAGCCCAACATATTTTATGTTCCATGAATTATGAAAAATATTGGCAGTATATATTGTCCTTATGTGGAAGAAGAAAACTTTGTGATTGAGACTCTTGTAAAATACAAATCTTCATAACAATATATGTGAAGAATAACATTCTTTAGTAATCTCTGTTTCTTCAGGGCTACCTCCCCTTTCCCCATATAACATATTTTTATGCCCAATATAAATTGGTGTTTTTATCCTTTACATAAAGAAATAATTCATGCACTGTCTGGAAAATATGTAGTATAAAGGTGAAGAAAATGAAGTGGAAAGGAATCAGTTGTTAAAGTTCATTAGAAGAAATGGTAACATCGAGATTGATTTCAAGCAGTTTTAAATCTGGGGTTTAGATATGATCTCAGAAAGTAGTCCTTAGATGGGTCATGCTAATTGTGCTTGAATTTGAACTACAGATGATCTTGTATTTTTTTTAATAGGAAAATATGGTACAGAAAAATGATCTCTGTAGAAGCATTTTATGAGACTTACTCATGTAAATCAATGAAGCTCTTTAGAATTGTGTCACATAATATATGCCATGTATTCTTTTAGTCCTTGGCTGAAACAGTCAAATTTTAATATGTTTGTATTATTATTTTATAGTGTCCTAGATGTATGCAGTGCAATACAAAGTTTGATTTCATAACCAGAAAGGTAAGAGTTTGGATGCAAATTTATTGTAGAGCATTCTCCTGAAAGCAATAAAATGTCCTCGCCACAGTCGTCACTATTGAGTAGAATGTTCTGCGTACCAAATGAAAATGTTATACTGGTAGCTGTAGCATTTAGGAAAGCAGTAGTTTGTACTGAAAAAACTTAGTGTAGCTTATACTGAACATAATAATGATACCAATTTTTCTTTATGGTTTTTCTATTTTCTTGAAATTGCATTGTGAACATTTTTAAAATTTTCAGTAGATGAATTTATTTTTTCAACTTCTACAGCTGCACATCTCAGCCAACGACTTTGGGCAGCTTAATGATAAAAATATAAAAATAAAACCTTTAAAAACCTTTAAAACAATAGAAACATCCAAAATAAATATATACAGCAGATAATTAAACAACAGGAAATCAAAAAATGGGGTCTTTAACCCATTCAAAGTCCTAGGCTCAAGTTTAGCTGGATAGCACCTTCAAAATGTGTATCATTTGCTTTAAGTATAAGCCAGAATTACAAATCTCGCTATACATGACTATTGAACACTACATATGCAATAATAAGTACTTTCACAAATCTGGCTCTTTTCTACATTGTTATCCTGGAGGCAATTACGGTTCATTCTCTAATTAGATTTCTTTTTAGTCAGGCCATGCAAGCAATACGCATTACAGTTGAAAACTACATATGCTTTTTGATGCTACAGATTTGCTGTGTCCACATATTAATTCAGGGTGTATTTGATTTTGATTTCTTGAATAAACCAGTTGGCCAGGTTGTACTTATGTTTAACCTTGGTTTAAGGTTAAACATAAGTTTAACACACATAATTTTAGGGCTAAATGAACAATTTTAGGCCTACATGAAATAAAAAGTTTGCATGATGTATGGAGTTAGCTGTTTTGCTTTACAATTATATCATGAATATTATATGATTATATAAATTATGTATTTATATCAATTATATGCTTTACAATTTCTCAAACAATGTAATTGCTTTCTTGTGTTGCAACTTCACTGAGTTTTTGATAAGCAATTACAGTAACAAAAATCTGTTTTGAAACTGTAGATATAAGGATGCAATATTGCATAGGGCTGCCAGAATAAAAATCTGGATGATCCATTAGATGGCACAGTAGTTCTACTACTATCTAGTGTTCATTTAGATTATTGCAATCCTGATCTGATAGCCCTAAAATTTCACGTCACAAAGATGTTTGATAAACATAATTTGGATAGGCAAATTATCCTTCAGATAGTGAAGGAAATATTTGGGTTGATCAAATGTCATTTTCACATGGTATGTGACGCTGTGGATAGCTTAACTATGGACTATTGAAAAAACCCAAGATATCTAATTCATAGAGTATAGTAAATCTTATATTGGTAGAATTTTTGCAATTCTTTAAGGATAAGATCTTATTTGTTTGTGGGCTTTATATGTTACATGAATACTTCCAGAATTCTTTCTTTCTTTCTTTCCTTCCTTCCTTCCTTCCTTCCCCCTCTCTGTGATATGGAGATTACAAAATTTATTCAGCACTGTAAATATTCTCTAAATATATAACTTTTAGCTCAGTTAAGTATCTAAGCATTAATTCTTGTTAACTGATAGTTATTTATATTTATTATATTTCTACACCACCCATCTCACCTAAATTACTCTGCATTTGATACTTGAAGCTTGCTGACTGTGCTTGTTTTTTTAGAACAGGGAAAGGAAAACACTGCTTATTGTACTCTGCATTTTCATGGACTGATTGCTAGACTTCCATGGAAACTAAGGAAGTAGTGCAATGTGATCTGCAAAGACAGCTTTTCAGACATTTTTCTCAATTTGTTTTTGCAAACATTCTGGTGTTTTTTTAAACACGGCCTATCAGGATTTTATCTCTTTATACTCCTTGTACTTCTGCTGCAGTATTCTA